CTTTATCTAGTTAATTCTGCAATTTACTGAAATGTCTGGATAGAATCAAGCATACTAAAAAACATGATCTCAAACTCTATTCATTTGTTAATATACAAGTAAACTTGGATAATAATATTTTTCAAAAGTGCATTAATTTCCATAATTCAACTGACAAAGTGAAACACAGCCATTATAGTTTTATAATGTTTAAAAATTTGGTTCACAACTTAAAAAAAAAACCCTAATAAAACATCACAGAAAATTAGGAGATTTGAAAATGGATGCTCAGCCCTGTTTGCAGAAAATGAGTCATTGGTTGAATTACAACTTTTGAACGGTATTCTTATTTTCATTGACTTTATTGATCTCACACTGGATAAATTCACATGTCACATTTGGCATAGGTAGATTGTGCGAAAAGAAAATCTGTAATGCCAGAATAATCAGTGAACACTAAACCTTTTGTCTCAGGCTTGGTCCAGAGAAGGCCCCACTTGCTCTTGCAGCGCTGTGGACACTGTTGCCAGGACTACACAACTTACGACACTTGGAGTAAATATATCTCTTATAATTTTAGTTTTTTTTCTACACCCGATTTTTCTCATTTCCTGCTCTCGTTTTAGTTTGGAGAACAACAACATTGGAAATGACGGGGCTCTGCGATTGGCTACGGCTTTGGTTTCACTTTCCTTCATAGAAACCCTCAAGTTCGGTTCACACACTTTATAAAACTTTGTTTTTCAGATATTGAATAATTACTTGTTTAATTTCCTCCAGTCTGTCACAGAACACTATTGGAGATTCAGGAGTAAAATCACTATCGGCCACGTTGATAAATCTACCCAGACTTGACAGGCTAAGGTATAAAACACATGTTAATGTTAAAATCATGTGGCATTTTTTTTCAATTTTTGACTAGTTTGTAAGCGACAAGATATTGTTGGGTTATACAGTACATTCCTTGTAATCATCCATCCTTCCATCTTCTTCTGCTTTAACCGTTGCCGGGTCACGGGGGCATGCTGTTTAAGCAGAGACGACCAGACTTCCCTCTCCACACACGCTTCCTCCAGCTCATCTGGGGGAATCCTGTGGCATTCCCAGACTAACTCAGAGACTAATGTGCTGTTTACACGAGGATGCTGCAACAATGTAGCCTGACTCTCGCCAGACCCTTGTAGTTCGCTGAGCTTCACACCTTGTGTTCAGCCAAACGCCTCTAGTGGAGCATGGCGGAACTACAAGGGTCTGGCGAGAGTCAGTCTCTAGCGACAATGTGTCCTATTTTATTTAATCAATGTTACCTTTCTTTACCAAATCTTTCATCTGGGAGATTTTGGTTCCTTTGATAATTACTTCTATAATTGCATGAACGTAAAACACGATGTTTTGAATGAAAGGCACTGAATAAAATTTATTAACTTTCATTTGTTTGTGTTTGAAAAGCCTCCACAGTAACATTATTTGTGATGGAGGTGCCAAGAGTTTGGCAGCAGTTCTTCCTCAAACGTCTGCGCTCACAGAATTGGAGTAAGTATAGTTTTGCATACACTTCCGGAGGGCGCATGCGCATTTTGGCCTGGTGCAGGTTTAACAAGGCAATGCTTAGAAAACACTCCCAATTGGAGAAGAGTGGACCAGAGTAGAGTTAGGGTTGGACAGAGGCAGAACAATTTCAGTTTTTTTCAGAACGTTTCAGGAAAATTCCCATTGGAAATTAAGCTGGGGAATTATTTTCAATTTTGGAAACTTTCTTTGGGAATAATGGGAATTAATGAAATCTACCAGAGGAATATGTTTGTATGTGATATTTAAAAAAATAACATTTAATATATTTCCCCATCAAAACTTACTTTATTGAAGGAACACATTTGAGCCTGTGGACTAAACCAGTGTTCCAGTTCAAGTTCAAATGATCTTTATTGTCCCACTGGGGGAAGCACTGGATAGTTCCCCAACCTTGTTTATCATTGAAAATAATCACATGGCACACCCCCTGCAGAGACTAATGCAAAAATTAAACTCTGCAGCCTTTTTAACAAAGCAAAGTCATTCTCTACAAAATGTATTGTATAAAAACTCAAACAAGCTTTAACAAGTCTTTCTAATCCTCTCTTTAAATGTAAACTGTTAGATTTAGTCAAGATTATACTAAAATACTTTCCTCTACTTTAAGTTGGCTATGAAGAGCCAACCTTCAATTTTGAAAATTCCCAGTGTATTCATGTTTATTTTTGTTATTTCCATTATATTCCCATTAACTCCCAGAATATTCCAACCCTATGTAGGGCTACGTCAGGCTGGTGGAAGCAGGTATGTGTAAACTACACTAACAGCATGTATGTTTGCAGTGTCAGGTACAACAGGCTTTCAGAGGCCGGTGCACAAAGTTTGGCCAACAGCCTGAAGCAGTGTGTGCGGATGAAATCCTTGAGGCGAGTAAACACTCTGCACTGTTGCTGTGGTTACATGACAAAGTTTAAATAAACTCATGTTATGTTTGGTGTGACTGTAGGATGTGGTGCAAACGCATTCCTTATGGGGTGTTTGAAAGACTGCAGCAGCAGGACCACCGCATTATGGATACCTTCTAGTCAATGTGATTTGCACCTTTGAAATGTTTGGGTTTTTTTGTTTTGAGATTTTTTTCTATGCATCAGTAAGATTTCTTCCCTCAATCTACTGCTTACATACATCACATATTTAAACACAAGAGTAACTAGTTTTTCTCAAATAAATTCAATATAAAGTGTGTGCTGGTATATTCATTTCTCACAGAAACACTCCAGTCAAGCTGCCAATAAAATTCCCTTTGTTTATTAAATACATTTTGGGAATAATATTGATACAATCCAAAACATTTGATTTTCAGGTTGTTGGAACAAAAGCAGAGGAATAGTCAGAGTCAAGTGAGCATCTCGTGTCAAACTCATTCAACAACAGTCAGATCCTGTGATTGCAGGAGTCGATTTTGTATTGCCATTGACAAACTGTCTAATTCAACTGCCAAAACGCAGACAACAGGCTCATAAAAATAAATGGGGTCCAGGTTGGACTTAGCTCAAAAATTTTAAAATGGATGAATCAATCTTTATTTCAAAATACTCTATTGTTGTGATGTGAGTGCAGCTCAAAGGCTGGTTTAGACTCAAGAACTGTTTGAGCTTTAACATTCAGTGTACTAATGAGTAAAACCAGAATCTAAACACATGCAGGGTTTTTTCTGAATGAAAGGTTGATTTGAGTGGTTTAGGGGCTGTGTAAAGCAGTACCTTTGACAAGAACATAAAACCTTTACCTCAACAGGAAAAAAAACACTTAAAACTAGCATGATTGATAGTTGTAAGCAACATTTTCAGAAAGTTTACAATGTCAAACAGGTAAAGGTGGGTAAAACAAAACAATTATTGGCACAAGAGTGTCAGCCTACTCTTCATAGCTAATGACCTAATGGTTCTTCTCCAGCTGCCCCAGATTAACAGTTGTACATCATGTTCACTGTAGTTTTGTGTTTTGCAATCGGCATTCAAGCTATAAAAGAAAATACTTTCTTCATAAACTAAATCATTATTTTTTACAACAAGGTCAACCATTTATAGGCTACCATGTTTTGTTCATAATACAATCTAAGCAATGAGCAGTGATACCTTGCCTGAGAATGTAACTTTTCTTGAAGACAAACTGAGAAGTAAGCGGACACATGCCTTTTTTCCCTTTCTTTTTGCATCCAGGGATGAAATGGGCGGCTGGCAGCATTCCACACAGGTTACCTTTTATTGAACTTGGACAACCTATGCAAAAACAAATAGAAAAAAATTAAAGAACCATTTATGTCATCTCTGTCTAATCAATGTTACCACTCACCTGCTCACAATTTGTGAGGTGCATATGGTTGCCCCTTTTGTCCCCGCAGTGTCCCATGTTCCATCAGCATCTCTGATACAGGGCTTTTTGGAAGCCCCTTTACTCAAGGTAGCCCTCAAATACATCCAGCTCAGTGTCCGTGTCATAAGACAAAGAGGCTGGATCAGAAAGGACTCCGAGGTCCACCAGCGCTTGGTCCATGTCCTCGGGCAAAAACACTATCCCAACATTTAGGACAATGTACTCCATGAGAAAGGCATAGTACAGAATCAGGACGTTCACAAAGAACAGGCCCAGATAAAACATATATGGGAGCTTGTCCACTTGAGATTCCACCGAATCCAGCTGTGCATAAATTAGATGTGTCATAGGAAGCCACCTGTCCGAGTCCAGGCTTACAAGGGCCGACGTAGAGGCGAGAGCCCAGCCTGAGGTGACCCTACCAAGTCCATGACAGCTTGAATTGACCTGCAACCACAACACAAATAAAAACGGATATTGTTACGGGAAATTACTCTATACGGTACAAGTAATTAGTTAGTTCGGTCATCTGTCGAAATAATATCCAACATAGTATAAAAATATCATCTTTAACAAGTCACTGGTCATTCTTTGTACAACAAAATGCTAGCTAGCTGAAATGCTAAAAACAGTAGCATGCAGCGAAAAAGTAAAAATGTATATCTTTGCACGCACTCACGTACCCACAAACAGAACTTACCAAGACTTACCACGGTCATCCATTAAACACTTTTCCACTAAACGCCTTCAACATTTTGGGATCCGTCCGTGAAACATCGCAGACAAAAACACGAAATCTGACACTTAGCAGTCTGCAGCGGATTTCTGTGTTCGGATTGGCCCGGGCACGTGTCCATCAAAACACGAACGCGTCGCATATCAAGCGCGTCATTACAGTCACCGGAAGTTGGTCTGTGTAGTTTTTAGGGCGACGTTGAGACTTCTTTTGACGACGGTAAAAACTACAACTTCCATTAGCCCAAACACTCGAGCAATTTCGCAGTGACCCAAGCGCAGCAACACCGCCTCTCACCTTCTGTTGGCTAAATGGCTATCTGTATGGGTTAGAGAAAGTGTGTGGGATGGACTGAATACCAAGTTTGGATTAGAAATTATAATAAAAACAGCAACCTTTCGGCCACCATGTTCGGTCGGTCTCGGAGCTGGGTTGGACAGGGAAGGGCAAAGAACATCCACTCCTTGGACCAATTGAAGTGAGTAGCTACTAGATAAGCTAACCACTGCATCTCTATTCACCAGATATTACATACAAAATAACGACTTGTCATGTACTCAGCGTTCATATCCAAGCAGATAACATATTTAGTTTTGATGCACTCATAATATTATGGTTGCGTGATCTCTTTTATCCAGGTTTACTCCGAACTAACGCCAAGTGTCCACCTACACACACCTCCTCCAATTTCTCAAAACGCAGGTGTTATGGATCCTTGTCGATTGGTTTATATCTGAAATTGGGCTGTTTTGACAAATAGGAAAACTTGAACGGAGTTAGTTCGAATTTATGACTCGAAAATCAAATGTATATTCATTGCTCCTCGAGAGTGTTCAGCCCTATTCTTTTGGTCCTAAGTATTTACAGCTACTTATCTATGAATATTTTGTGTGCTTTTGCTTTATGTGCGTTGCAACCCTGACACTTCCCCTCTATGGGTATTAATAAAGGTTATCTAATCTTAAATAATCTATAAACACAATACGCTAAAGTTTACTTGTTTTGTGTTTGTTTGAAAGAGAAGGTAGATGTATTACCTTGGTAACATGTTTCGGGTTAGGGTTATAATAAAAAAGCGATTGTAACAGAAATATAACACATTACATAATTGCTTATGGAAAATGTGTGATAAGAATGTTTTTCTTATCACATTGTAAGATTCAATAAAAAAAATTATGGAATAATATTAACTGATGACAATGCCTGTGTGATGATGTGGTATTTACTTGTTTGTAGGTATCTGTATCATGTCCTGACAAAAAACACCACAGTGACAGACCATAACAGAAACCTGCTGGTGGAGACGATTCGTTCAATCACTGAGAATCTCATCTGGGGAGATCAGAATGACAGCTCTGTGTTTGAGTAAGTCGCCCCAGCCGTGTCTGGCACCATGAAGTCTACATATGAGAAACATTTGTGATTCTGCGTGAATAAGTTAAGGCTACATAGTTAAGAGCAGATACTGTGCTTATTTTGCTGTATGTTGACAAATGAAAGTAGGCCTTACATTGTTCTGAGACCAGGTTCCCCACATCAAACTAAACATGAATCTGTGAAGCAGTCATTCAGTGCTCCTGTGTCATTTGAATTGTATTGATTCACTTTGTGAATACTATAGAACAGCCTTATCCAGTGTAGTCTCTCAAATAGGGGACACCATTCTTCTCATAGCCCTCAGTCCTTCTGCCCCTCCGTGCGGTGTCTTCTGCAGCTGTATTTACGGTGTTTGAACTGCTGCAGCACCGCTCACACTTACCATAGGTTTGATATCTCTGCAATAGCACCCCAGCAGTGGTGAGTTCAAGTGGTACAGTTACGGCTGTATTCACATATGCGATCAAAAATACCCCAATATCTGACAACATTGAAACTACTCATTCCACAGACATGAGCTTACCTTTTGACGCCCCACTGCTCAGATTGGATTGTGGAAAGACATACTCTCACAATAAATACTGAGTACTAAAATAATATTACATCAGTTGTTTCAATTAAAGTATTTTCTCCACATGTCTGCATTGGGACTCTCAACTGCTGTACATTGCTCACACGGAGTCTTATGCACTGAGGTCCAATGAGCAGCTGTTGCTTTCTATGACTTTTGTCCACACAGAGTTGGGAAAAAGAGCCTTTGTCCATGCAGCTCGTTCTGCTTGGAACATGCTCCAGCAAGACTGGAAGCAGACTAAGCTTTTGTCCTTGAATGCTTTTAAATCGAAACTCAGAGTTTTTGAGACGGCCTCAATTACCTGTAATTGTTTTACTTGATGTGTGTAGTCTGTATATTTTATCTGTCTGTTGTGTTTATGTCTAACTCTGCTGCCTCTTGGCCAGGACTCCCTTGAGAAAAGAGGTTCTTATGTCAATTGGATTATTCCTGTTTACATAAAGGTTAAATAAAAAATTCTGGCACTGTGTAGTCTGACCAGCCTTGTGTTCTGTCTGTTCACAGCTTCTTCCTGGAGAAGAACATGTTTGCGTTCTTCCTCAACATCCTTCGTCAAAAGTCTGGCCGTTATGTTTGTGTGCAGCTCCTTCAGACGCTAAATATTCTGTTTGAGAACATCAGCCATGAGACATCCTTATGTAAGCACTCACAACAATATTCATATTCACATTGTCACCTCCTGTTCCAGTTTGTATGCCATTATTTTAAATCACAAAATAATCTGACTGAACCCATTTTTGTTTTTCTCCAGATTACCTCCTGTCAAACAATCATGTGAACTCCATCATCGTCCATAAATTTGACTTCTCTGATGAGGAGATTATGGCCTACTACATTTCCTTCCTCAAGACGCTTTCACTCAAACTAAACAGCCATACAGTTCACTTCTTCTATAATGAGGTATGAGGCAAAATGACAAATCCTTCTAATGCTTCAGGGGGACACTCACTCTTAATACAATTGTGTAGCATTGTGTAACGTACGAGTTTTGTAAAACTGTCCATCTCTGGCACTTTCAAATTCAAACTTTTGTGTCCTCCTTGCAGCACACAAACGATTTTGCCCTGTACACTGAAGCCATTAAGTTCTTCAACCATCCTGAGAGCATGGTGCGCATCGCTGTCCGGACCATCACGCTCAATGTTTACAAAGGTGAGCAATCAGACACACATGCAGCAGGGGGCGCTACACTCCTATCTGTCCATGGGCCTGTTTCTGCTGCTGCCGCGGTAGTGCATGAGTGCCAGTTCCTCTCTGAAACAACTTAAATGGACCTCGATTGTTTAACTTCCTGAATGTTATGCTAACCACGGCATTAGTTCTGGACAATATAAATTCTTATAATATGCTGAATGTGACCATAAGCTGTAATTATTGTGAATAGATAATGCTAATATGTGCTCTGTTGTTTTTGCTGTTGCTTGAAATAGACTTGTAGGACGTTTAGTTGGTGCATTTGGCTTTGTAGTGCAGCTCATGCATGTCCTCTCTGCATTGACCCAGCCACAGTCACTATCTCGGGGACGAGGGGCCGTCTCCTCCCCTCTCCTCTTCGCATGCAGCATTTACGCCTCACTGACCGCATCTTGAACGACAAACGGTGGTTTGATCTCAGACAAAATGTGATTTTCTGGTCACTACAAGTCCAGGTCCACACAGTCATTTGCCAAGAGTGTAAAACTCTACACACATGTTCAAAGTATATCATATTTACTCAAATCTTTAAGGTATGTAACTGTTCTTGTGTGGAGACTAACAATAACTCTTGTGAATCGCCTCTCCACAGATCTCACTTGTTACTCAGCCTTCTAGTGTCACCTGCTTTGTTACTTTGAGTATGTAATATTAAAAAGTATATATATTCTAATATAGATTTGTGTATATAGCAGTGCAGTGTATAGCAACAAATAAACAATTAATTGGATAATTTTCTATACTATAGCACTTCCCAGTGGACAGTTTATGACCAAAATGGGTTGTTTTCTGTCATTTAAAAATGTAATAATTATAGATTTTTTCCGTCATTATATTTTCTCCTAAACCTTGACATGAGCAGCTGTGCTATGACGTCATCACAGACTGATGGTAAGACTAGAAAGGCTTACCATCAGTCTGTGGTTTACAGTTTATTTACGATCCTTGCAGTGTTGTATGTGCACATGTACTCAGCGGGGCTTTCAGTGATGCCTCTAGAGGTTATCAGCCGTGGACTTGGGTCAGGTGTGCTTGTAGTCGCCTGTGAGATCTCTGCAGCTCCACATGTCTGCATTAACCCTGTGTCTGTTTCCCCTCACTCCTCCATGTCTCCTCTGCCGCTCATCTGCCTAACCGCAGTCTCATGTAAGTTGGTTGATCCATTCATTCAGTCTTCTATCGGGAGCCGCGGAGGCCGAGCACGTCCTGTCTCTGTGCTTTCCGAACACACTGGGAAATCTCACTCTCAAAAACATTAGCATGCGGGTGTCCTACTCCTTCCTCCTGTCTTTGGCTTCTTGTTTTTGTTTTTTTGTTTTTCTTGCACGTGTGTAAATGTATTTCACACTTGCATATGATTGGCAAAATGTTTTGATTTGCTGATCATGGTTGTGTTTGACTTTTAATTCTGCTTCTCCAAACATCTTTAAACTTGTAAATCACTGCGTTATCTACTTTCTATGTCTGCCTTTACATCCCGCAAATGTTGTTATACTTTGCTGTTCATTCATTTCACTATTTGTTTTTTGGACAGCTCCTGTTTTGTCTTTTGGTTCAAATGAATTTAGATGAATATTGCTGAACATAATTATTGTATGCATGTGAACGTTTTTGTTTATGTTTTTAAACTGTAGTGAAGGAGAATATAGATGAAGCATGAAAGAACGTGCCTTTTTCATTTGACATTCCTTTGTACTTTTTGTCACTTTCTGCAGTGGACAACCAGCACATGCTCCACTACATACGGGATAAGACCGCGGTGCCCTACTTCAGTAACCTGGTCTGGTTTATCGGCAGCCACGTGATCGAGCTGGACAAGTGTGTGCAGACCGATGAAGAGTGAGTCCCATTTCACCACGAGAGATAGATACTTTTACTCTTCTCTGTGGGAGAAATTCAGGTGTCCTGTAGCAGCAAAAACTCATCAATCCACACAAACAAAACAAATACATTGATTATTCTAAAAAGTTAACAATAGTAATAATGAACTGCAACAGCACTTCAGGTCACAGCAGCAGAAGTGGAGCAGCCGCTTGGTTCAGACCATTTTCTCTGCTCTAGTCCAAAGTAAAAGGCTGAATGCTTCATTAGCATTTTTCCCAAAGTTAGCATTCTCCCAGTGGATTTTCAGCTGATCCGCTTGGTTTGGACCATGAATCCTCTCTGCTCTGGTCTGGACCAGTGCAAAACCATGATCACTGTTCTGCTACAACATCTCAGGTACAGAAACACCAATAAAAATAAAAATTGTCAAACACAAAACAACAACTGTTTCAGAGCTACTTAGGACTTGCAGATGTTTCCGTCGCATTCAAAAGTAAACAAGGATGAGACTGGGTAATTGGCAAAAGTTATTAAGGGTCAATTGTACTGCAACATTTATGGCGGTGGAAATCAGTCACTCAAGGCCACTGATTTCATGAAAGATTTTCATTAATTGATTTTGTAAGTCATTTATTCATTCATCTGACAGGGACAATAATTAAGGGAATACGAGGCTCAGTTGGTAGAGCATTGGCCTTTGAGCCTGAAAGTTAAGGGTTTAAGCCCACCGTGTGACCTTCTCCACCAACTCCCACTGATGTCTACTGTCGTTGTGTCCTTGGGCAAGACACTTTACCCCACTTTGCCTGAAGCCCCGCTAAAAGATCAAGGCTGTGTTGTCACTGACAGAGCAGTCATCCTACTGTGGACGTGCACCTGCAGGAGGATCAGTGAGGGGCTGGTGCTCTGTGACTTGGTGGGCATCACTGATTGCCACCCCCTGACCCAGTAAAAGTTTAAGTGGAAGAAGATGGATATATTTTGCAGTAATACATCTTTACTGCAACTGTAGGGTTACAGTGGTCCTTTTTCCCCCCCACATGATTCGATTTTCAAAAATAACAATTATTTTTATTTATTTATTTAGAGGATAAGCCCCTTGAGATGAACCATCTCATTTTCGAGGGGTCCTCGAGATTTCACAAAGTGACAGATACAGCAAAACGGATGCAAACAAAACAAAAATACAAGAAAATATTTTTTTTTAAACAACAAAAAAAAACAAAAAATACACACACATAAACCCTCAATCACTCACACACATACACACACACACACACACACACACACACACACACACACACACACACACACACACACACACACACGCTGTGACTGTACTGTAATTACACTAAATAAGGATAATACTATTAATAATAGTAATAACAATAATTAGGAGACAAAGACAAGATTAGGTCTCATAACCTAAGATCAAAAACATTGACATGAATTCTGGAGATATTGTAGCAGAGCAGATTTAAACAGAGGCAGAGTAGTTAGAGAGCGAATAGACAACGGCAAACTGTTCCAGTTAGACGGAGCTTTAAATTCAAATGCATGTTTTTGAGCTTCTTTTTTCACTCTTGGGACAACAAAAAAAGACTGATTTGCATGACGCAAACTGTTCGAGGATTGGAAAGGAATTGTATATTGTTTTGAATATTCTGGAAAACTGAGACAAATACATTTGAAAATAAACAATGAGATTATTATTATTATTAAGATTATTCGATTTATTTCCCAGCTCTACTAGAACTCAATCCAAATCAAAGGCAACTGTTGTAAAATCTTTCCTTGTTTTCACGCAGACACAAAAACCGGGGGAAGCTGAGCGACCTGGTGGCGGAGCACTTGGACCACCTGCACTACCTGAACGACATCCTCATCATCAACTGCGAGTTCCTCAACGACGTGCTCACGGACCATCTGCTCAACCGCCTCTTTGTGCCGCTCTACGTCTACTCCCTCATCAACCCGGAGATCGTAAGGCTCCGTCCCCGTCTCGTGTAGTAAGTTACGTTTCTGACAGAGACTGACGCTCTTCTTCTCCTTCCTTTTTGTAGTCGGAAGAAAGAAAAATCAACCCTCAAGTCTCGCTCTACCTGCTGTCCCAAGTAAGAACAGTTCAAAAGGCTGCCTTCATGTGACATCACCACATTCCCAAGTGTTGAGTTTAAAGTTATGGTAAAGGGCAGCTGAAAAATCCTTGGCAACAAAAAAAGAAAATGCATATGAGCCATTAGGTAGATGGATTATCTATGTCCATGTTTTAATAAATGTCCATACTGTAGCCGTTTTCTCTGTAATTCCTGGGCCAATCCACATAAAACATCTTCTATGTCAGCACATATCAACTATGTTCTCTCTATTTTATCATAAATGTGGAGGAGCTGGGGAAAATTCACAAACATACACACGGTGTTGGCAAGTAGAAAGGACATAACAATATTATGGCAGGTTTGTCAATCTTATCACTGTCAGATTCAGAGCAGGGAAAACAAAGCTTATTTCTCGAACATGAATTCTGGCGTAAACTCGACAAACTTTGTGTTTCGTCCTCAGGTCTTTTTGATCATCCACTACCAGCCTCTTGTTAACTCCTTAGCGGACGTGACTCTGAATGGGGACCTGTCTGTGTTCACCCAGCAGACTGACATCCAGTGTGCTCACATGTTCATGGTAAGAAGGTGTGGACTGGTGTGTGGACTGGTGTGTAGACTGGTGTGTGTAGACTGGTGTGTGTAGACTGGTGTGTGGACTGGTGTGTGGACTGGTGTGTAGACTGGTGTGTAGACTGTGTGTAGACTGGTGTGTAGACTGTGTGTAGACTGGTGTGTGGACTGGTGACCCACGTGGGGCTTCAGAGCCTTCCCGTGTGAGCTGTGTGTGAGTCTTGTGGCTTTTGTAAGAAGCCTCCCACCATTTCACTGCACTCGCATTCTCGGTCAACCACGACATGACGACTATTCACCACGTTTTCATTTATGGTGCTGAGCTAGTAGATGTTTGACTTTGCTTGTAACAATTACATTTTCATGAATTTAATATTACTATTTAATCAGTTTATGAAAATGTAAGTAATCATTGGGTATTTGTGTCTCTTAACCCTTATGTATAAATTAACCAGCCACAGTGACAAAAAATGCCCTAAATGATTCTTTACTTCCTTTTTTTTTGATGAATTGTGATGATTTTTCCTAACTCGACCAGCCCTGGGTCATTTAGTTCCTGATTTAGGGTATTTTTCTTCCATATTTAATCACTGTGGTGGGTTCTTTTGACCCGAGTGTAGCAAAAAGGTTAAACCTACATAAATGTATTAATTTTGGAGTGACCTTCTTCACTGTATTTATTTCCAGAAATACTCTACACATCTGTCCCCTCAGAGTCTGTCTGATTTGCGTGGGAAGTGTGAGGGCCCCGTCTCAGTTTCAGTTCAGCAGTTTGCCCGTTTGATGTGGCAGGAAATGAGGTCACGCGAGGCTACCCTGACAGAGCAGGTTCACCAAACCTGGCTCTGTTCCTGGAAGCAAACATGTTTAGGCACATGCGGCAGATTGTCCCACCTGCATTTATCATCTGCATACACATCTACATATACATCTGCATTATACATCTACATCTGCATTATACATCTACATCTGCATTATACATCTACATATACATCTGCATATAGAACGTCAGAAAGCCGCCAGTCCGCCACAGCCTCTTTGTGCTGCACGTGTGAGCGCTCTGACCTGCATCCACTTCTCAGCACAGACTGCGGAGCGACAATTACCAGAACTGCACATGCTCTGTGGTTTACGTGCTCTTACCTCAGTCTTTACACTGTTGCATATTTATGTACAATTTCCTCAGATTCCCTCCACCCAGCAACCAAGCCTCACAATCATTCGTGCGTTGGACATGTTTGCCTACGTCATTCCTTCTGTTGCCAAAATGTTAGAGTTGACGATAGCAGCCGATGTGACATAGAGGCCATTGTGTCCCTGTGGATCCACTAAGACGCTGTTTTTCTACCAGAGCGTCGTTTGGTGTGCCCATAGAAATTATCCTATATATTATAATACGAAAATAATGTGAGAAGATTAGAAAGACTTACTTGATTTTCTAAATAATATACTTCTGATGATGTGAGCCAAGGTTGTGAGCCAAGATTGCACTAAGCAGTAAAGTATGATTGTTGAGTGCGACTGTTATTTAAATAATCTCGAGGATATAGATTCAGTCATTTATTTTTTTTCCCCTCTGTGATCTATTAGGAATTCACCAGATGGAACCAAACATGCAAACTAAGTACTCAACTGAGAAAGTATTGATACTGAATTTCTTCTATTTGAACCGGTAGCCACCTCTAAAATAACGGCTGTTCATTCTAATACAAGGGCGCCTGATTATTGTTCTTTCCTTTGGATGTTTGTGCCCATTTTGTCCATGACCACCGTAGATCAGCTTGGACACTAGCATTTTTGTATCCACTGGTTTTAATAAGAAACTTTATTTGAATAACAGGAGAGGAGGGAGAAAGTCGTCATCATAAAGAAAGGGCCATCATAAAGAAAAGAATTCCATAATCACTGCGGTATAACATTTGATATTGAGTTTGTTCATTGGTATCAAAATACAATGTCAATATTAGTATTGTGACAAATCCTTACACCACTTTAACTTCCTGTCTGGTCATCCATGTGCTTTACCTTCGACCACTGCACCAGACCCCCATAGGAGAGCAGTTAACCCATTCTCGGTTCCTTTCTGTCTTGCCCCTGCCCCAGGCGAGTTCGGGCGGAATGCGTCGCTTCACCAAGCCCCCCGAGTCCCTGGAGCGCTCCCTGGAAATGTCCCGTCACCGCGGCCGCAAGCGGACCCAGAAGCGGCCCAACTACAAGAACCTGGGCGAGGACGAGGAGGAGGAGCGCGCGGGGCTGGCCGGCGGTGAGGCGGACGAGGGCTGGGACGACAGAGGCGAGAGGGAGGGGGTCCGAGAGAAGGCCAAAGGTACAGAGGGAGTGGCAGGTGGGAGCTCTAAGGGCAGCAGAGCCAGTGGGGAGACGGCGGAAGGTGAGTGAGTGTGTGCCGTTGTGTGTTCTTCTCATCGATCCACCCCCGACCATCCGTAAAACTGCCCCCGTCTCGTGCCACATACCTCACCGTTGATTTTGATTCTCATGTCGATGCATCACGTGTTTTTTAAAGACGACATATTGTGCTTTTTCACTTTGTTCATCGATAGCCGTGTTTCACCTCATCTTCACTAGAATGCACCAATGGCATCAGATGTCGTGCTGATGTTGGAAATGGTGCTGTTATGAGATTTGTTAAGCCTATTATAAGGCCTTTATAGTTGACCCAGAATGTCATATGTTTTAATGTAGTGTCATCTTTGAATATTTGAACTATTCTCTTCTATTTTATCTATAGATTTGTACTTCAGTTCTAAAACCAATTATTCAGAGTTAAGTTTAATATTTTCCTTTTATACACACAAGTTTATAGTTTCTTTTTACGAGAGTATAGGGTTATTCAAATGTTTAAAATTTTTTGGCTTTGACGTTTATTTCCCTAAAGGCAAACTTCAATAATACATTTTTCAATAATAGAGTTGTGCTTTACTTAATATTCACTTATATTATCTTGTCTTGTGCGCTCCTCGTTCCTACTGTTCTTTAACTTGCGATGCAATCCTGAAATCTCTCCACCGTGGGACAAATAAAGGAGCTCTCATTTTTTAAGTAAACAAAGTTGTACAATATTTATTTGCGGAATTATAGTTACAAAGAAACAGCTGAGCACGTTTTGTAACAATCTATCTGTGATTTGATTGTTTGAATTTTTTTTTTTTTTTTCTGGTAAAAAATACATGCACTGTAGGTAGATCTATTGTGTGTCATAAAAATGGAAGAAGCAACGACTTGGTTAAAAATCTCTCGCATCAATTTTGCCCAATATGTCGTCTTTAAAGTGCACCACCATCATGGATTGGACGAAGAATCCCTTAAACGTCACACACATTAATCTGGTCGTAACGTATGAGGCATAATTGGGAGTAATCAAAACATTTTAACTGCTGTTCATACCCCTTTAATTGCCCACTCTCACATCACATGTTCTTTTGTGCTTAAAAATTCACACACCCACAAATGACCTGGTTTTGGTGATAATGAACGATGACACAAAATAATAAATTGTGAGTGGTTGTGTGAAGTCATTTATTGTCACTTCAAATTATAACATTGTTGAGCCGCTCTGGGGAGATCTCAAATGTGCGGTTAATGCGAGGCAGCCCAGGAATTGACAGGAACTGGATGCTTTTTGCCCGAAAAAAAATGGACCGCTTTACCATCAGAGTCCATCCATAACTACCACAAAATACTTAACTACCACAACTACCACCATTTTTGCTCAATGCTGTAGTCATAAAAAATATGTATAGAAAATATGCAAATGAATGGCTTCACATAACCACGAACAATGAATGCTTCATAATTTATAATCTCGGAAATATGGCCAAATATGTTGCGTTAGCTGGTAAGCCCATCTGTACATGTTTGGTCTCTGGGGGTCCCCGCTGGCCTCCACAGGGCGACACCATTCCACCTGTGCTCCTCACCTCTCCGTCTGTCTCTCACTCTGGCTCGGTGTGCTTGTGTGTTTAATATTCGCTGATATGAAACAACTCCTTCTTGGGCCGAGTAGTAAAAGCTTAACACTGGAACTCCCAGCGCGGTCAATTTAACTGCTTTTATTTTCTTAAAGTTTGTACGTGATTGGTCTTCCAAACTTTTGACTTTTTCTGTTTCTGTATGTAGCAGTGAGCAGTTGGTTACCATAGTTGTCATAGCAACACGCTGTTAACTTGCCAGCCATTAGCATGCAATAGCCTTTTAACTAGCTCTTTTTCTTGTATTTCAAGTTCTGTAAACCAATCTTAGCTCATAGTAAAAGTGAGTTCAGGTAAAAAATGTTATATCCACTGTGCCACTGTGCTGCCCAGGGGGGAATTTCTTAGAATCCAATTGGTTTTAAATGAGAGCACTCCAAATTTGAGTAGTTTCATAAATCTGGGAGTCCTAGTGTTAATGCTAACCTAAACTAAACACAGCATGTTACTGACGGTATCCTGAAGGAGTCTTTCCATAGCGCGTCGTCATCGGTGACACTCATTTGTGCTTTTGGTGCTTTGAGCTCATTCACTTTTATAATGTTTGTAAATGTTGTGTCAGAGATTGAGATGGTCGTCATGGACAAATCCAAAGTATCAGACCTCACTGAGCAGAACATTACCGACGAGGAGAAGACCGCGGCAGCAACGTGCATGTACACACACAGGTGGGACCGCGCTCCGCCCGCCGCTCAGACGCCGAGCCAGAAAGGTGATCGAATGACAGCCGTTTTTTTGTGTTTTGTCTGAAAGGCCCTTTTTAGACATGGTGTACGCAGCTCTGGACTGCACCAGCGACGACTACCAGGCCCTGTTTGTGCTGTGTCTGCTCTACGCCATCTCCCACAGCAAAGGTCAGCAGCCCTCGGTGTGTGTGCGTGCGTGCGTGCGTTCTTGCGTGCGCGTGTGTGTGTGTTTGTGTAGTTTGTAGACGTAACTATTTAGTAATCTCACAATTCCATCTAAATACATGCCGTTTTCACCACCTGCTTTTTTATCTGTAGAATGTAAGCCCATAAGCTCTTTTAAAACAATGGATTCTTTGTCTGTTAGACTATAGACTTTATACTCACTTCTTATTATGCTAAAGTCAAAGATTTTATACTTAATTCTTTCTTCTTTGTTATGCTAAAACTAGAGATGTTACACTTGTTGCACTAGTCACTTTACCAGTTATTATTACTACAGCATTATTACACATCCATTCATCTGATATTTCTGTTATTCACTTGTCACTTTACTTGCTAAATACCTCCAAACCAAGTCCAATTATAGCTTCAGTGGTTCATCCTATTACTTATGTTAATGTCATATTTTTTTTCTTAAATAATAGACCCTGTTTGATGTGTGCTAAGACATCAAACAGGGTGCTCTATTTCCTTCTTTTTTTCCTGCTCTTTATTATGCCAAGTTAGAAATTTTATTTTATTTTAATTTAGTATAGAGCTATTTTTCTGTAACCGATGATGCAACACTGAAATTTCCCCACTGTGGGACGAATAAAGGATCTCTTAATCTCATAGCACAAAACAACTTCTATTCAGTTTTTGTTGTAACCGAACCTCGGCCTTTATGGTGAACACAACACTCCCATGAGGGACACGCCAGTATGTGTTATAGCCACTATCGTTGTGTTCTTACTAAGAAAAGGCCAAAACCTCAAACCGTATCAATCTCTGCGTGTGTCGTTGTTGTGTGAAGGCATAAACCAGGAGGTGCTGGAGCGGCTGCAGCTGCCCTTCCCCGAGCAGCAGAGGGGCTGCTACAGCGTGGTGCTGGTGGAGAGACTCATCCGCATCATGAGCCAGTGTGCACAGCCAGGTACCTCTCCTCCGGGCCACCGCACTGCCGTCACGTGGACTCTGAGCACCCTCATCATATATCCATAATAACACTACTACATAGGGCTGGGCGATGCGGAGAAAAATCTCGATACAGTACAGACCAAAAGTTTGGACACACCTTCCCATTCAACTAGTTTCCTTTCTTTTCATGACTATTGACTGTAGATCCACACCAGGCTGTGTAAGGGCTATTTGACCAATAAGGAGAGCGATGGGTGCTGGGCTAGATGACCCGGCCTCCACAGTCACCGACCCTGAACCCAATCCAGATGGTTTTGGGGGGAGCTGGACCACAGAGTGAAGACAAAAGGGCCAACAAGTGCTAAGCATCATGGGAACTCCCGCAAGACTGTTGAAAGACCATTTCAGGTCCTCTTGAAGCTCAAGAGAATGCCAAGAGTGTGTGAAGCAGTAATCAGAGCAAAAGGTGCTACTTTGAAGAACCTAGAATATAAGACATATTTTCGGTTGTTTCATACTTTATTTTTATTTTTTACGTACATAATTACACATGAGTTGATTCATAGTTTTGATGCCTTCAGTGTGAATCTACAATTTTCATAACCATGAAAATAAATAAAAACTCTTTGAATGAGAAGGTGTGTCCAAACTTTTGGTCTGTACTGTATGATATATAAAGATATTTTTACAGAATAAATATCCATCCAAAAACTACTGCAAATTTTTATTGAACCTCAAAGATGAGTCAGTTCATGTAGGAACAAAGGTTTTCTGTCACATTTGGTTCCTGTTTTTGAAGAAATGAAACATTGCCTTTTCTTCATACAATCATAAAACTAATCACCTCAATGTGCAGTTGGGTCCTAAGTGCTACTGCAGCATTTCAGATAAAAAAAAAATGCTGATTACATTGATAGTAAGTAACTTCCAATTCAGCCGCTCTCTCCGTAGTGTACAGTCTCAGGAATATCTCAAAGTAATTCCTTGACTCTAATCTGTGGCAAAGTCAATCCTATGCACATGTGTGACAATAATTTGAATGATACACCGCACAACACTTATAGCCATCTCTCGTATAGAGGGGACGTCTCCTCAACTCAAACAGGCTGATTCAGCTTTTTATGTTTATTATTTTTGACAACAAACGGCATACTTATTGTGTATTGTTTACGAAAACATTTAATATCCATATTAAATACAAAGCAAATGGGCTTATGCGCTTCATATTTGTCATCAGTGTGGTAATGTTAACAGATGTGGACCTGGGCGTTTCACTGCCTCTCGAGGGGGAAGGAGACAGATCGCTCTCTAACTAAAGATTGACAGAATCAATGAAAAAACTACTCTGGGCATGTGTATGAAGGCCAAATAGCACTGTAATCATGTTTAAAGCAGAGAAAAGACAAAAAGTGTAACATGGGACCTTTAAGTAAACTTAAGTTTCATTTCTCGCTGTGTATGAGTTAAGTCTCTGATGTAAAGTCATGTGGTTCAGTGATGACAAAGGTGTCGTGTCCACCACTGTATGAAATGCCACGGCCGCCTTCTGTCATATTCTACACTCCTCCGAGCATGTCTCTGCTGCTGGCTAAGCGGCGCTGCTGCTGTGTTGAATGAGACACACGTGAGGTGAGGGGCCGAGGGGGAGCAACAGGAGGCAAACAGGCAAAGTGATCATGGATCATATGAATAGAACCTATCGTCAAAGTTACTTTTGCGATATTATCTCCTACAATAATCATCGCTCAGCCCTACTGCTACATCATATTAACAACACTGCTCTCACTAACATTACTGTGTGTTTGCAGACGGCAGAGTGCGCCTCGCGACTCTGGAACTCACCTGCCTTTTATTAAAGCAGGCTGTGCTCTCTGGCAGTAACTGCATAATAAAAGACGTGCATCTGGCGTGCCTCGAGGTACCACACACACAAATGTTAGAACTGTTAGCAGACTGTTCTTTATTGGAGAACTACACGTCAAACCTTTGTGTCAAATATCAGGGATCTACTATAGTCATTACAATTGCTATCCAACGATTGTCGCCAGAATCTTCTGCCTGTGACGCTTTGCAGCTCCTTAGCAATGGTTACTGATGCAAACCACCTGCTGGAGTTTAGCTAGGAATTGTGTAATTACGTATGACTGATTATGTTTGGTCCTGGTTTCATTTAAATATCTGTGGTGCTATCTTTTTGATTTGGAAAATAAAGAGGAGAGCCTAGACCAGCTAAAAACCCTGAAGGATGGTCTCATTCTGCTCTGATCTTCTTAAAAATTGGAAAAATGGATCTTGTGCTGCTAATTTATTTTTAATCAAGAATAACACTACTTTTGTTCTGAAAAGACCAAGTATGTGTACACGTGGCCTGTTTTCTGGAGACACACATAAAAGATGCAAATGTAATTTAAATTGAAACGATGACATATGTTTGTTTGTTGTGTTTGTGATGTGGTGTTTGTGTTTTATGGAGTTCGATTCTGACAAACAAAGATAATAATAATAAAACCCTCTTTAAACCGAGTGAAAAGGTTTGCAGTAAAATGTTGACGTTTTTGTTGATCGTCTGCAGGGAGCTCGTGAGGAAAGTCTGCACCTGCTGCGTACGTTCTACAAGGTGAGCTCCAGACACGTACAGTGCCTTGCAAAAGTATTCGCCCCTTGAACCTTTCAACATTTCGCCACATTTCAGGCTTCAAACATAAAGATATAAAAATCAGATTTTTTGTCAAGAATCAACAACAAGTGGGACACAATCGTGAAGTGGAACAAAATTTATTGGATAATTTAAACTTTTTTAACAAATAAACTGATTCGGCCCCCTTGCGCTAATACTTTGTAGCGCCACCTTTTGCTGCAATTACAGCTGCAAGTCGCTTGGGGTATGTCTCTATCAGTTTTGCACATTGAGAGACTGGAATTCTTGCCCATTCTTCCTTGCAAAACAGCTCGAGCTCAGTGAGGTTGGATGGAGAGCTTTTGTGAACAGCAGTCTTCAGCTCTTTCCACAGATTCTCGATTGGATTCAGGTCTGGACTTTGACTTGGCCATTCTAACACCTGGATACGTCTATTTGTGAACCATTCCATTGTAGATTTGGCTTTATGTTTTGGATCATTGTCCTGTTGGAAGATAAATCTCCGTCCCAGTCTCAGGTTTTTTGCAGACTCCAACAGGTTTTCTTCCAGAATGGTCCTGTATTTGGCTCCATCCATCTTCCCATCAATTTTAGCCATCTTCCCTGTCCCTGCTGAAGAAAAGCAGGCCCAAACCATGATGCTGCCACCACCATGTTTGACAGTGGAGATGGTGTGTTCAGGGTGATGAGCTGTGTTGCTTTTACGCCATATTGTTTTGCTTTGTGGCCAAAAAGTTCGATTTTGGTTTCATCTGACCAGAGCACCTTCTTCCACATGTTCGGTGTGTCTCCCAGGTGGCTTGTGGCAAACTTTAAACGAGACTTTTTATGGATATCTTTGAGAAATGGCTTTCTTCTTGCCACTCTTCCATAAAGGCCAGATTTGTGCAGTGCACGACTGATTGTTGTTCTATGGACAGACTCTCCCACCTCAACTGTAGTTATCTGCAGTTCATCCAGAGTGATCATGGGCCTCTTGTCTGCATCTCTGATCAGTCTTCTCCTTGTTTGAGATGAAAGTTTGGAGGGACGGCCGGGTCTTGGTAGATTTGCAGTGGTCTGATACTCCTTCCATTTCAATATAATTGCTTGCACAGTGCTCCTTGAGATGTTTAAAACTTGGTGTTACGCGCCCGGGCGTACGCCTTCTCCCCTTTTAACCTGACTTTCTTTCAGCTCTGCCCTGATTGGCTGGCGGTGCGCTCAAAAGCAGCAGGTGTCCTGATGGCGGGCTCTCTCTCCCTCCAGCCCTCTGACACTCTGGTCCCGGCCACGTCCTGGGACAGACACACAAAGGTTATCATACTGACTCTCATTCGCCCCACACGCACCTCAGCCCACCTCTCACTTACAGAACATGCCAACAGTAACACATTCTCATCCAACACTCCTATCTACACATAAGGTTATCCTGCTGACGATACTTGCATTGCACGCAGCCACTCACATTACACTTACCCTGATCGCAGAAATATACTATTATTCTTTATCAATAAAATGCCAAACACGGCTTTAAAACTGGTCCTAGTGTCGTTCCCCCTTATTCTTTGTTGCAGCCACAGAGCCGGGCTGTAACACTTGGGAAATCTTTTTGTATCCAAATCCGGCTTTAAACTTCTCCACAACAGTATCTCGGACGTGCCTGGTGTGTTCCTTTGTCTTCATGGTTCTCCCTGCGCTTTAAACAGAACCCTGAGACTATCAAAGAGCAGGTGCATTTATACGGAGACTTGATTACACACAGGTGCATTCTATTTATCATCATCAGTCATTTAGGACAACATTGGATCATTCAAAGATCCTCAATGAACTTCTGGAGTGAGTTTGCTGCACTGAAAGTAAAGGGGCCGAATAATATTGCACGCCCCACTTTTCAGTTTTTTATTTGTTAAAAAAGTTTAAATTATCCAATAAATTTTGTTCCACTTCACGATTGTGTCCCACTTGTTGTTGATTCATGACAAAAAAATTAAATTTTATATCTTCATGTTTGAAGCCTGAAATGTGGCGAAAGGTTCAAGGGGGCCGAATACTTTCGCAAGGCACTGTAGCATCACGAGTTCTGCTGTGTTTGTTGGACTCTCTGATGTTTGTGGCGTCTCAGGGCGAGGAGATATTTCTGGACATGTTTGAGGACGAGTACAGGAGCATGACGGTTTGTAGACCTTATGGTTCAGTCCGATATCGTTCGAACAAAATCGTCGGGTTGAGTAACATTACGTCTCTCTCTGAACCGTGTGCCGCAGAGTAAACCCCTCAACGTGGAGTACCTCATGATGGACGCCTCCATCCTGCTGCCGCCCACGGGAACGCCTCTGACCGGCATCGACTTCGTGAAGAGGCTGCCCTGCGGAGACGTGGAGAAGACGAGAAGAGTATGTCCTGCTGCACACAGCATTTATACACACACACGCACAGGATTTACACACACACACACACAGCATTTACACACATACAGACGGGTAAAAACAAAAAGTAAGTAGTCAGCCACCATTAGTGCAATTCCTCCCATTTACAAGTATAAGAGATTTCTGTAACTTGCGAGGAATAACGATTTGAACAAGCTTTACTTTTGAATGTGCTGGAAACGGCTGCAAGTCATAAGTAGCTCTGAAACAGTTGTTGTTTTGTGTTTTACAATTGTTTTGTTTTGTTTCTGGCTTTTTTCTACCTGAGATGTTGCTGCAGCACAGTGTTCATGGTTCACTGGTCCAGACCAGAGCAGAGAGGGTCGAGGAGAGGTCCGAACCAAGAGGATCGAGCAAAAATCCACAGGAGGAATGCTGACTTTTTGAAAAATGCTAATGAAGCATTCAGCCTTTTACTTTGGACTAGAGCAGAGAAAATGGTCCGAACCAAGCATCTGCCCCATCTCTGCTGCTGTGACCTGAAGTGCTGTTGTTTTTTTTATTATTACTATTGTTAGATAAAATAGATGGATAAAAATGTGTAATGTGCGCAACGATGACACTGAAATTTCCACACTGAGAGACGAATTATCTTTTTATTGGGATTTTTTGTTCTAATTGTGTTTCATAGGTAAACTATTCCTACGATGAAAAGTCCAGGCATCTTTTATGTTTTTGATTCAGTGGAAGGAGTAGCACAATCGGTGGCTGACTAAACACTCTTTTCCTCGCTCTGTAGAAGTTGCAACATGTATCTATGACTCTCCAATGACCATCAGACGGCCGCACGTGGAGGAAATCCTGCCGCCCGTCAGTGGTGGCCCCTGCCGGCCGTCAGGTGGTGGCCCCTGCCGGTCTCTGAGCACGCAAGACATAACCCGCTCTCTCTCCTCTCCGCACAGGCGATCCGCGTCTTCTTCATGCTGCGCTTGTTGTCGCTCCAGCTTCAGGGAGAACCGGAGACGCAGCTGCCTCTGACCCGACCCGAGGATCTGATCAAGACCGACGACGTCTTGGATCTCAGTAAGACGCTCGCAACCTCTGCACACTCATAACGCAACGCCACATTCGACACACGTCCTTCTGCTGAACTCAGAGACGGTGCTTTTGTTCTTCCAGTCATGATTTATCTCACAAAAGCATAGATTGACTGATAGCATTTCATAGAAAACACAAAGAGGTAGTTTTTTTCGAAGAATTGTAGCTATATTTTCTTTTATTCTTGTCAATAAGATGTTTTTATTGTTTTATTTGGCACATGTGGTAAGTACAGTTAAATATCCACTGAAACTACAAAAGTGTATAAAACAACTTAAAGGTCTTTTTGGACTTTCTTCCTACAGTACATATTTGGGCAACTTATTTAACAATACAAATATTGCATTAGCAGCTTATGTGTTACTATAGTTTTGTCCATAATTAGTGAGATGGAAGCTTTTAGAAGGTCTTGTGTGGACGTTTCCATGATTTGACTCCATGAAATCAAATTGAAAACTACCTATGATTGCTCTTAAAACATTGAAGGAATGAGAAAAATCTGAGGTACTCTTGACAATGAGATAAAAACCCTCTTAATGAACAGGGATTATTATCATCAAGAGTGCTCCTGATTTTTTTCTCCTTTCTTTAATGTTTCCAGTGTTTTTGTCACTGCTGATCCTGATGAGCACCTGACTTAACCCTTTAAGGATCACCTAATTTCGCCTGCTCCTTCTCGAATTATGATACCCAAATGGAAATGCTTATTGTGTGGACATCTTGTGTCTGATTTTGTGTTATGAGGCCTCATTTGAAAGGTAAAACCTTCTAGTTTCTGAAAATGTATGTTACAGTTTGTTAGGAAGGACACAGTCTGCATTACAGCTTCTCAAACATGAGTCAAAGTTAGTTTTTTTTGTCAAAAAAAATAAAAGGCAATTTCAAAAGGTTCTCCTGAAGACATACTTTATGGTATGATGTTCAAACTCACCAGAGCAGATGTTTGTGGTGTTGGAAACACCTATATGAAATTTTAGACCTTTAGGTGGAACTATTTTGATGCTGGGGGCTTTTTTGTAACTAATGGGCACATTCGGCACAAGTGGTCCATTTTTGTGCCAACTGTGCCAAAGTGTTTTACATGCAAATTATCAATGTTTTTACATCAAAAATCCATTTATATAATTTTTTGGCTATTACTCTTGCTATAAATAGCATTTTTTCCAGTTATTGAAAGGTTTGCAGAAAAGCTATTATTTATATAGTTATAAGATAAGATAAGATAAGATTGCTTTATTTATCTCACAGAGGAGAAATTTACATGTCACATTTGGCATGGATAGAGACACTCAGATTGTGCAAAGGGAGGAAATGTGCAAACATGTTACATGCAGGATATATGTACAATAAAGTGACAATAATTATGTACAACAAAAGTGACAAGTGTCAATTGGAAACAGTGTCAATAGTAGTGCAGGTTTTCACACAGTGATCATTTAAAGTACTTATTGTACAGTCTGACAGCGGTGGGGATAAAGGCCCTGCGGTAGCGCTCCTTCCTACACTGAGGGTGCCTCAGTCTTCCACTGAAGGAGCTCCTCAGCTCCTCCACAGTCCTGTGCAGTGGGTGGGAGGTATTGTTCATGATGGCGGTGGCTTTGGCTAGCACCCTCCTGTCCCTCACCTCCTCCACAGAGTCCAGGGAGCAGCCCAGAGTGGAGCTGGCCCTCCTGACCAGCTTGTTCAGTCTGTTTCTGTCCCGCTCTGTGCTGCCCGGGGCCCAGCACACGGCAGCGTAGTAAATGGCAGAAGCTACCACAGAGTCATAAAAAGTCCTGAGCAGAGGCCTGCTCACTCCGAAGGACCTCAGCCTCCTCAGAAGGAAGAGGCGACTTTGGCCCTTCTTGTGCAGGGCGTTTGTATTATGGGACCAGTCCAGTTTATTGTTAATGTGAACACCCAGGTACTTGAAGCTGTCCAGCAGCTCAATGTCCTCCCCCTGGATGTTCAGCAGCGTGTGGGAAAGTGGTTTCCTCCTGAAGTCGATGATCATCTCCTTGGTCTTACTGGTGTTCAAGCACAAGTGGTTGCGCTCACACCAGTCGACAAAGTCCTTGATAACCGACCGATATAGCGCGTGTTCTCCGTGAAAAAGGCTCCGTCTTCCTCTTTACGCATTCAAATATGACGGGAACAGTGGGAGGAAGCTAGAAGTCCGACACATCGCCTGAAACCTGAGATTATTGGCTACAAGATGATTTGATTGACATCCAAATCGGCCAATGGTAGTCAAGACAATGCTGTCGCGACGCACAGATATCTATGTGAATGGAGCGCTAAAGCTAGGTGCGCTTGTTTTACTCAACTTACTCTACCTTCCAAACCATAGCACTGAAAAGTCCGGGAATGGGCTTGTTTTGAAGGGGAGGCTTAGGGAAAGACGAACATACCCAGTGACGCTAGGTAAACAGTAAAATGTCCTCTTTATACAATGCGCAAAGAACAGGTTTTATTTTTGTTTGTGCAACTTTCAATACTCAAATATGTTGTTACAAGTGGATATCTACTATAAGGATGACTTTGAAGAAAAAACAACTGGATATAATTATTCTCTAGACCTTGTGCTGCTAATGTACAGATGTAAACATACTGTACAGATTATGTTTATATCGGCTACAAACATGTACAGATGTGAACATACAGGCGGCACAGTGGCTGAGTGGATAGAAGAAGGTCCTGGGTTCGAATCCCAGTCGGACCAGGGCCTTCCTGAGTGGAGTTTGCTTGTTCTCCCCGTGTCTGCGTAGGTTTCCTCCGGGTGCTCTGGTTTCCCCTACCACTAAAAACATGCACAATAGGTCTGGCATGCACCTCCTGTACTGGCGACCCCGCTCCCATCTCTGTGTGGAGTGAGAGACAAATGCCCAAAAATAACAATTGTCAACCGCTTTGTCACTCTGGTCTGTGAAAGGCGGTTTATAAATAAAGATTACTTACTTATTTACACAACTACACATTGCCTGCACTAGAATACACAGTACTTTATACTTGCATCTTATTTTGCCAAATTTAGAGAATTTATACTACTTTACCATGTTAAAGATAGAGATTTTATACTTGTTTCTTTGATGCAGATTGTATTTTATTTAGTTTAATTCATTTTCTTTTATCTTGTACTATGTGCTCCCCATTCCTGCTGTTCCGTAACTTGTGATGCAGCACTGAAATTTCCCCACTGTGGGACGAATAAAGTATCTTAATCTTGTGCTGCTGTCCAGATAACAGTGACCTCATCGCCTGCATGGTGGTCAGCAAAGACGGGCTTCAGGCACAGAGGTTCCTGGCTGTGGACATCTATCAGATGAGTCTCGTTGAACCGGACACCAAACGCCTCGGCTGGGGGGTGGTCAAATTTGCTGGACTTCTACAAGTGAGGAATTATAGTTTAGTTTCTGTCGTATAGAATCTGGTTTAATTCTGGTGACAATCTTTTTAAAACAGGACATGCAAGTATCGGGCGTGGAGGACGACAGTAGAGCATTAAACATAGTGATCCATAAACCCAGCTCCAACCCCCACGCCAAGCCTCTGCCCATCCTCCAAGCCAACTTCATCTTTGCCGACCACATCCGCTGCATCATCGCCAAGCAGAGACTGGCCAAAGGGCGCATCCAGGCCCGACGGATGAAGATGCAGAGGATCGCAGGTGAGAGCTGGAGCCACTCGCTGGTCTGTTGTGTCAGCCATGTGTGACTGACCGTATGTGTGCGTGTGCGTGCGCAGCTCTCCTGGACCTCCCTGTGCAGCCCAGTGCTTCAGAAGTGTTGGGCTTTGGGCAGACGGTGCATGCATCACCAGGAGGCCTCCCCTTTCGCTTCTACGAGCAGTCCAGGCGATCTCCCAATGACCCCACTGCAAACAGATCTGTGTTTGCTTCCGTGGATAAAGTCCCAGGTACAAGAGTAATCTACTTCACCATAGCTGCATTTCCATTTTGAACACTTGCGCAAAACTTTCAATAAGTTTCAAATGTTCTGTATTTTGCAAAAGTGGAGTTTTCATTCAAGCATCAATCCTATTAAATATTGCATTGTTAAAAAGCAGAGCCGCAATCCCCACAGACTGATGTGTATATGAGAGAGAGGGGGGTATGACTTCAACATCAGCCTGTCCTGATCACATGAGCCAGCACTCGGACCTGGGACTTTGATCCCGGTCTTGGCGCGGTTTTGCTGCAGTCTGTGATTACGCAACTGCCGTGACACTCCGGCACAGGCATGAGGACCAGAATCAGATACTATAAGACCTAAGACCAGAGACCTGACTTGGATCAGTGATTTTAGGAGGGTTATGATGTCCTGCGCGCACCAGCTCAGCCAGAAATATTATGTCCTTATTTTCATGAGCAGCCTCCATATTTCATGCTTGTTTTGTAAAACAGGCCTGGCCAACACCTTTCTTTGCTAAATCAAAAACAGTATTTCCATTGCAGATTTGGGATAAACACCACCAGAAAACCACCACATTCAAGTGTTCCTATTCAATTACCAAGTCTTATTTTTGTGTTTCAAAATGATTTTCAAATTCAAATCTTGATTTTTGATTGTCAATGGAAACATGACTATAGTAAGAACTAAACAAATGTCCCCCTGGAGACAATAAAGTTTTTTCTGTGCATCATTCTAGGGCAGTGTAGATCCTATGTGTATATATATTTATAATAATCTGTAAATACAAGGTTCTGTACATATAAAAGTGGGTTATCTCCAGGGTTAGGGAGGGATATGATACAGAGCAAACTTGTTTTATCTTGTGACTTCTTTTGGTTCAGCATGTGACCTTTTGAAACAAATTATCTTTGAGATAATGAAGAATTTCTGCAGAAACGAATCAGTCAAGTGAGTGATGTGAACTTGATGTTGTGGTTCTCAGGGTTTGCAGTGGCCCACTGTGTGTCGCAGCACAGTCCCTCCCCCCTGTCCTCCCCCTCCACCCCGTCCAGCGGCAGTGGAAGCACAGGCCGCTGTGACTCTGTGACGGCCAGTACGGTGTCCATGCAGAGCCCTGCGGGTAACGCATACACACATTTCTACATACACGCACGACTCCCTCTACCATCTGACAATTCCAAAAATATATATATTTACTGCAAAATTCCTTTGAAATATATTGATTTCTTTGAAATCATATTGTCAGTATAAAACATTTTAAAATGTCTTTGTTGTCCAAGTTCCACAGTCAGTGCACAGTGGGAAAACTGTGGGCTGGGGGCCACATACGGCCTGATTTATGTTTCTAAGCGGCCCCCGGACCCTTCCCAGCAGAAAAGAGTATCCAAACCCATACTGGGTATAAAATTATAATTTTCGCAAAATACATTGAACATAACAATAGCCACAGATCCAGAAAATGAGCTCTAATCTTATCTTAAATAACTTTCCAGACGACAAGAAAACACTCATTATCCCCTCTGCTTTTTTATAGTTTATAGTTTTATAGTTTTGTTCATAGAATACATTTTATAACCAAAGTAGCTTTCACATAATAAGCAACTATGTTTTGTCAAATTAAGCCAAGAGTAACATGTGAAAACGAGGCCGGCTCTCCTCTATATGCCGACATCCTCAGAGCAGTGTCTCCAGTCCTTTGTTGTGTACAGTTAGATAACAGTGTAACATCTTTAAAACTATCTATGTTTTTGTCTAGAGCTAAAGCATTCCTTGATTGTGGGAGGGGGCTGAAGTGAGCAGATGTGTTTTCAAAGTTTTTTTGTTTTTCCTTATGACGCAAGAGGAAGCCACAGTCTGAACGCTCATGTGTGTTTGACTTGAGAACGGTTCAGTAGGTGTGCAGGAAATAGAAACAACATTGGTTTGCTTTGTAAACACTTCAAACATTCGGTTAGCATCTAGTCCTCTCCTTTTTAGTGAAAAATTAAAGGAGTAGTATGTAAAAATCTGGCCGAAAGTGGTACTGACTGAGGTTGCCAGATATGCAGACAAATCCTGCTGGGACCATAAAATCTGAATAAAGAATTTCGTCCGCAACAAATCTTATCCAACACCTTTTTCACAAAGATAGAAATCCTGGTTTTATTCTTTGTTTTGTTGTTCATGATTTGAGAATCATAACGAGACCTTTTTTAGTTCTGCGGCCACATGGTACTTTACCAGTGAGATTAGCTCGATGCAGTGAGTTCTGGCAACCCGGATCATAGACTCTGATTGTTAAAACAGTGGAGGGCGGGACATCAAAATGAAAACAATAACAAGATTTAGGAGCTGTAAAAATAAATTTGAAATCCAAATATCTACTGTTATCAGTTAAAGAAGTATTCGAAAAGAGCATTATTGATTATTATGACAGATTAGGGCCATGACCCGGCATGAAAATCTTACATATTGCTACTTTAAAGTATCCTTGTGTCAATTTGATTTGTTGATGTAAATTGTCACTTATGAGACATCCCTTGCCCTTATACCAAAGACAAGCCCCCTCTCTATGCCAGGGGTGGCCAACCCGCGGCTCGGGAGCCGCATGCGGCTCTTTGGCTGGTTCCGTGCGGCTCTCGGGCTTTCACTCGACAAGCGTCAAAAACGCCTCGGTGGTGGCGCTGCCTTTCATTCCATATGTAGTTCTGACCAATAGTAAAGGCCGACTTCACTCCACTAGCCAGGCCGCCAAAACAATCTGACGTCGGCGAACGTCAATTCTGGTTGGTCAGATGCATTGTCAATCACTCTGCAGCTGCTACCTCAGCTGTAGCAAATATCATAACAAACAACACGTTGCCTCGAACCATGACGTCCGTACGGAAAAGAATTCCTTGGTCGCTGGATGAGGGCAACACCTTCCTCAGTTTGAGGAGAGGACACCAGCCTGATCTCGCTGGTTCCACCAGAAACCAGAAGGTGTTTGTGGAGCTAGCACTAAGGACGGAGCAGAATGATTCCCACAAACATGACAATGCAGAGAAAAGTTAAAAAGCTTAAAAGTGACAACCGTGAAATGAAAGATCGCAGCAGCAGAAGTAGAGGCAGACCCGAAAAGTCTGGAGGTGGTTTGACCAAATGGATTACATTTACGGACATCGGCTAACACCGGCTAACATGCTAAAACCAGCTAACAACAACTAGCATTACACCAGGAGATAAGCCAACTCTGCCTGGTGAGTGTCTGTCTTCAATCAAATGCAAAAGTATCTGGTCTTATACTGAGCATGTGTCTGTGGTTCTAAATCAGCTAAAGTGGTGTTGGTGTTATGTGTCAAATCTATATCTTTTACTAAAGACAGTTGTGTTTCTGCTGAACACTGGGTTGAAACTTGATTTTTTTTTCTTGGTTAGAGATTGCAAGCATTCATTTCGGAATCATAATTGATGTTCGCTGACGTGAAATTGTTCTGGTATCGACTCGCCCGGTTAGAACCAGGGCCAAACCATTAATAAAAAGTACCGGGGAGCGGCTGAAGCGAGCGGTGGAAGCGCCCACAAACCGGGGAGAGTCGAGTCCAGCCCTTTAGTACTGTACGAGTCAATTTCTGTCATTATCATGTTGATGACATTTACAATAAATCTGTCTGAGCAGAGCACACCTCTCTCTGCACAGACAGATTGCATGTGTGTGCGCGTGTCTGCTCGTGTGCGTACGTGCCCGTGTGCGTGCGTGTGTAAGGGTTGGGGTGATGTTTATGTAGTGCACATTTGTATGATGTGGCTCTTTGCTGTAACACAGTAAAAAAAATTGGCTCTTAGTCTCTGACTGGTTGGCCACCCCTGCTCTATGCAGTTGAAGACAAAGAGACGAATGAACCAATGTGATGTGAGCGAAACCAGTTCTTGAACCGTTGAACTTTACTTCGCTGTCACTGACTCTTGACTAATGTCAGACTGTACACAGAGTCAGCACAAGAACATAACTCTCGTTCTTGTGCGGCTGTTGCTCTGTAACTTTTACAACCTGCTGTTTTCTCCTGATAACACATTTCTCCCGCTGCGCCTCTGTGTCAGACTGATGTGTGTGTTTTTGCAGACGAGAGCGTGACGGCCGCGCACACGACTTCCGCCGCACCCGGAGCCGACCTCACCGCCCACGCCCACGGCCCCGCCCTCGCCCCCAGCCTGACCCCCGCCGCGCAGCCCTCCATCTCCCTCCTCACGGACGCCGCCGCCGCCGACAGCCTGAGCGTGGAGTCCCTCACCCTCCTGCCGCCCGCCGACTCCCCGCACCTCCACCCCTGCACCAACCCGTCCCCGCGGCAACAGGACACTATCACAGAGGTGGAGGAGGAGGTGGAGAAGGAGCCAGAACAAACGGGGGACGAAGAGGAGGAGGCAGACGCTTCGCTGGAAGAGGCGCTAACGTCGCGCACAGACGAAAACTCCACTGAGAATCCACAGACGCAAATGGACGCGGACGATTCTGAACTGGACTAAGACTCGGACTGGAATAGGACTAGGACTCAAGCACACGGAAGCGACCGAGGGGTTTTTGCGTGAACCACAAACACGCCGCGCTCGGTGACTCTGTCTTTCTCGCAAGGACTTTTTCCGAGAACAAGAACCTGCTCCAGCGTGTCCTGCCGAGTACGCACACGCGCCAACAGGCTCAACCAGCAAACTTTTTCTACTCATTCTGTTTTCAGAGTTTCTCACAAAGGCTTCTCTCCCTCAGTGTCTTTCGTCGCATACGGATGACGCCGTTCCATCAACGCATTTGACCCCGTCCCGCGTCAGCATAGGTCGCACCCACCACGTCAAAGCCGGTCCGGGTCCCACCAGCCCTACAGCGGGTGGGGCCCGTGTCTACACAGGGCAGTGGCACCAAACCCTACGCTTCATCCTAACAGTTGTATAATCATAGGCTTACCATAGAACAAAGGCAAAGCAAACACACCTACAGGAAAGCAACTGACTTTTCCCATAAGCACGTTCCACAAGTCTGATCTAAAGGAGACATATTATCACTAGGCTGGGGTTCCTAACTTTGACTAAAACACACCTTTTAGTACTCGTTCCTTGCTCGCGAAACAGTTTGGTTCTAGATTTCACATGCGTCTTTGGCATTGTGTCTCATGATTAGATCAGCTTTCTGAGACAGAAAAGTGGAAAAAAAGAGTGGACCACCCTCATTCAGCCAATCGGAGCTCAAACCTCTGCCTAAGGTGTCCCATAGTGACTCCCAGGGCTCTTTCATACAGATGTGCTGAAGTTCAAAAGGGAGGACAGTAGGTTGTGTTCATGTTTCCTTCACAAAACGGGATTCAATATTTATGAAAATGAAAATGACAGCTTTAACGTGCCTCCAAATCTCCCAGGGATTTTTTGCGAGATTGTACGGTGTATGGCTGTGCATGAAAATAAAAATACACTGAAAAACTTTGAAAACGTTTCCACATCGTGTCTTACTTGTGACAATTTAAAATGAACTCTGGCTTATGCGTACAAAGTTAGTTTTTCAAATAATCTGTTTCTACACAGATACAACTATGAGTGGTGTAGTTTTACCGTCAAAAAGAATAATGTGTCTCCTTTTGATGTTGAGGAATGTCCATAATAACACGTGTAATGTCAGTCACCGTTCTGTTCAATGATCCACAAAGATTCAGTCTCATGTTCCTGCTCCGGCTTTACTGATTTTAACCCGTGAATGTGCAGCGCTCTACAGGCCTAAAAGTTGCTCTTTTAACCATTCAAAACGCAGCCGATTGAAAACAAGAACTGGAAATGCCGCTTCATCTCGAGCCACGACAAAACAGTTGTTTGGAGAATACCACGCTCTCTGTCAAAAGCCAGAATCAAGCTTCTGCAAAAAGCCCGACCGGAGCTGACCGGAGAATGTATTCCAAACCGCTCCAACACTGGCGCTTCTTGAGTTTGAGCAGGATTTTTAAAAGTCTGTTTTTTTGTTCTGATTTTTGTTTTTTGTCAACACACCAAAAGCACAGAGCGTCAAAACGACTTCTCACGGCCGTCGCCCTCGGATCTTTCCCATTTCCGTGCCATGATATTGTACAGCCAGTCTTAACGATTGGTGCGTTGTCTTAACACTGATCGCTCATCCACTTTATGAATAAGACCTTCAGAGCAATACTCTCTTTTATGAGTTTTCCTCCTTGTGTTTCCATTTGTAAATAGCAGCAGAATGGCCGCGGCGGTGAACAACTGGCGTACTGGGGGTTTGGCATTTTTGTGACACGCCCCTGAGTATTGTTTCCGATAGGGGTGGGTGATACAGTATATCGTCTACGGATTATCAAAAAAACAATGTGCTCATACAATCGGTTTCAATAATAAATCCAGGAAGCTTCTCTGGTGGCTCGTCTGACACCTTTTAAATTGTGGTGTTAAGTCTATTTTCTGTTTTAATTAACATTCAGTTGTGTTCTGTGTCTCCAGATAACAGGTCATGTGTACAAATCATATGTGACCTTCTGAACAAAAGCTTAAAGTGAATTAATTGTACAATGGGGGAAAAATGACCATAATATTTGGGTTTACAGTTTTCAATCAGATCCAATCAGAGAGCAGAATTGGGCTCTCGTTTAGGTTGCCAGTTTGTTGTTTTTAATTACGAAAGAATTAATTCATTGACGTTCATGCAGGCACGATCAAAAGTACTCACATGTTATACAGAGTTTGTACAGTTCCAAGCTAAACCCCAGCAGGTGGATTGCATCAGTGATCAGTGCTTAGAAGAGTGACTTTAACTACAGCTAAAAGAAAAAATAAATAACTTGTTATCTAATTGAAAAGGTTCCTTGCCAGACTTTGAAATTGGTTTTCAATTGGTTGTGTGTTACATGTTTTTACCACTACTATCGCCCACCCCTAGCCAATGATTGTATGTTTGTATGTATGAATGTATGAATGCTCTGTAAATGCTTTTGACCTTAAGCGAAATATCAAAAACAAATTCTACTCTGCAATAAATTATTCTACTATTACACACGATGCTGTTCTTTAGGGCTTTAGCGCCGTTTGACCTGAGTGGTTTCTACAAGGACCTGCACTTGTTGACACGCACTCACTCACGCACTCACTCACTCACTCACTCACTCACACACACACACTCAGGCTTTCTCTGATCCCTGTGGTTTGGACACATTGCACTTTGTGGTTCCCCTGTTCAGAGAAGTGTGTGCGTTCCGGGTAGTGCTACTAGAGCTGATAAGTGTCGCTAGTATCACGGAATGTATGTAGCGGTGATAAAATAATTAAAAAAAACCAAGGCACATCTCACTTCCTAAATTACAATGTGAAGAAGAGGCCAGTGTGTGAGAAGCAGTGACGTCATTTTCGATGCAGAGAAAGCGTTTAGCACTTTAGAGGAAGCACTGCCGTTTTATGACTTATGAGGATGCGACGGCTGAACATGAACGGTTATTTATAATCCACCCACTGCTTTTATTATGGTATGATTTAGTCGTGCGCACATAATGAAAGTGAAATGTTAAGTCTGGTTTCACTTACAGAGGAGGTTATTTTAGATAAGATGTACTTTATTAATCTCACACAGGAGAAATTTAAATGTCACATTGGCAAGGATAGGAACACTCAAGAAATGTGCAAAAAGTAAGAAATGTGCAACATGTTAATGCAGGAATATTATGTACAAAAAAGTGTCAATTAGAAAGTGGCAATCAAAGAAGTGTCAATATAGTGCAAGTTTTTTTCAGTCTTAATGCAGTGACTTAAAGTTGTGTGCAAGTTACCCCTTTTTTCAATACTGGGTAAAGAAATGTTAGTCCGTATTTGGTCCGCATTGGCCCTGTTTTAGATCCTGTTTAGTCATTCTGTGTTTGGATAACCTAATATTGACATGGCAGTGGTTGGCAAGTATTTTTACATAAGGCAGGACAGGCAAGGATTATTTGTATAGCACAGTTCATGCATTGGGCGACAGTGGCTCGGTTGGTAGAGCTTTGGCCTTTGGTGCGTGAAGGTCGTGAGTTCGAGCCCACCCCGACACCTTCCCCACTGCTGTGTTTGTGTCCTTGGGCAAGACACATAACCCCACTTTCGCTGAAGCTCCCGCTGAAAGATCAAGGCTGGGATGTCACTGACAGAGCAGCCATCCAGGAGGACCAGTGAGGAGCTGGTGCTCTATGGCCCTCCCGACCCAGAAGTGGACAAGTCTCTCCATGGCCTTGCACCAAAGTACATTAGTGACATGTAGGTGCCATATGAACCAGCTCGGACTCTGAGGAGCACAGGGACTGGCCTCCTGCTGGTGTCCAGAGTGAGAACTAAACATGGGGAAGCTGCATTTCCGATTTATGCTGCTGAAATCTGGAACAATCTCCCTGAAAATGTGAGAGAGGCGTCTTCTCTGACAATGTTTAAAACCAGGTTAAAGACGATTCTGTTTTTCTATGCATACAACTAAAGGATTTTACCTCTTTTTGTATATGGATAGATAGATACTTTATTGATCCCCGTAGCAGAGAATCAGGTGTCCAGTGGCAGCAAAAATAAAAAATAAAATTGATCATTCTAAAAAGTTAAGAAAAATGCATGTGGTTATGTATTTTTTAATTTCTTGTGTGATTTTAAAGTTTTAATGGTTTTAATTTCTTGTGTGATTTTTAATTGTGGTTTAAATGGTAATTCTGGTGTTTGTTTTATGTGATGATTTGTGCCTTGGGTGATGTGGACTGTGAAGCGCTTTGTGTTGCCCTGTGTGTGAAAGGTTGAAGATTGATAGATGGATGGATGGATGAACAGTTCATTCTATCATGAGGCAACTGAAAGTGCTTGACTCAATAACTGCCATTGAGATATTTGTCTCGACTGGGGATCACAGGAGAACAAAACTAGCCTGAAACCAAGTTGTTTTTGCTGATGAAAGTAGACAGTCCAGTCTTTCAGAATCTGGTTTCATTTTTCACATAGTCATAGCACACAAAATTCTGTGGGTCTTGAAAAATCAGTGAAATAATCAAAAACGGCAGGCAGTCAATGAGTTAAGATAGAAACAATCATACAAGGCTATAAATCACAGTACATAAACTAAAGTGAAGATTTTAAAAATAAACATTATCAGAGAAGAGGTCTGTCTCACATATACAGGAAGACTGCTAAAAATCTGAAACGCTGCCTCCCCATGTTTAGTTCTGACTCTAGGCACCGGCAGGAGTCCAGTCCCTGTGCTCCTCAGAGTCCGAGTTGGGTCATATGTCACAGGTGTACTTAGGTGTGAGGCCATGGTGCTTAACTTTGAAAACACAAATAATAACCATAGAATAAAATCCAGTGCTTCTGCCTCAAAACTGTTCACATACATACATTTAAATATTGAAACAGTGACATAAACACACATGTATTTTTCATGTTGAATAATAAAAAGCAAGAAACCAGCATTCACAGAAGTAATTCCAAAATGAACAGTCCATCTAATCAACCGTTCCTCTGATGTCACCTGTGTCAATCAGGAAGTGGAATGTAAATAATGTAAATTTCTTGTGTACGGGGAAATGCAGATAACGGGAATGCACTTCCTCCTCGCTCCCGATGCCGGATTTCCTTCTACACGTCACAAAAGACTGGTAAGAATTGCTCTCTCACACCATCAGACAAACTCAGACTGGTGTGTTATGACTGCATCCATGAAGGAGGGCCCCCATCACTCACAGATCTGGGCCCCAAAACGGCTAAGTCCACCACTGGTCGCAGCTTTGAACCAGTTAACATGTTTTTTATTGAGTGAAAGGCAAAGATAAGATACACAAAGTACTGAGATAAGAAGATTATAGAAACAACATGTACAACTTTTACCTGGTATCTTTCCTCTTGGGTTAGGGTTGTTTTTCTTTCTTTAGTCTTCACTTCTGAACTGAAATAGCTACTTTCTTTCTTTTTCAAAGCGTTAGTTACTTTGCACAACTTCAAAGGAGAAAGTCTGATGTAAATGGACTAGGAGAGGTTTGAAGTATTCTGTGTCAGTCTGAAATACTTCTACCACAGTATAACGCTTGTTTTAGTGTTCCCGTGGTAATGCTCAAAGTAAAATATATCATTTCACTTCAGTACATGAAATCTTCCACTTTCTGTCTATTTGTTTTATATAAACAGTATATTTTAGTATCTGGTTTTTTACCATGAGGAACTTCCTTTGCCGACAGATCACCAGTGGGAATACATAAAAGTACAAAAACACTAGATATAAAATATACAAGTGGGGCAGGAAGCTGGATATGGCCTTTTCGTTTTGAATGAGAGCAACCTGTACCTGTGCTCCGAGGGATTGATATTAACAGGACCTGTACCTGCGCTTTGAGGGACCTGTGCTCCGAGGGACTTCTACCTGCGCTCTGAGGGACCCATAATTGCGCTCTGAGGGACCCGTAACTGCGCTCTGAGGGACCTGTACCTGTGCTCTGTGGGACCCGTACCTTTGCTCTGTGGGACCCGTACCTGTGCTCTGAGGGACCTGTCCCTGTGGCCTGTGGGACCTATGCTCTGAGGGACCTGTACCTATGCTCTGAGGGACATGTACCTGTGCTCTGAGGGACCTGTACCTATGCTCTGAGGGACCTGTACCTGTGCTCCGAGGGACTTGTACTTGCACTCTGAAGGACCCGTAACTGCGCTCTGTGGGACCTGTACCTGTGCTCTGTGGGCCCTGTACCTGTGCTCTGTGGGACCTGTACATGTGCTCTGAGGGACCTGTACATGTGCTCTGAGGGACATGTACCTGTGCTCTGAGGGACCTGTACCTATGCTCTGAGGGACCTGTACCTGTGCTCCGAGGGACTTGTACTTGCACTCTGAGGGACCCGTAACTGCGCTCTGTGGGACCTGTACCTGTGCTCAGAGGGACCTGTACCTGTGCTCTGTGGGACCTGTACCTGTGCTCTGTGGGACCTGTACCTGTGCTCTGAGGGACCTGTACCTGTGCTCTTTGGGACCTGTACTCTGAGGTACCTGTGCTCTGTGGGACCTGTACCTGTGCTCTGAGGGACCTGTACCTGTGCTCTTTGGGACCTGTACTCTGAGGTACCTGTGCTCTGTGGGACCTGTACCTGTGCTCCGAGGTACCTGTACCTGTGCTCTGAGGTACCTGTACCTATGCTCTGAGGGACCTGTACCTGTGCTCTGTGGGTCCTGTACCTATGCTCTGAGGTACCTATGCTCTGAGGGACCTGTGCTCTGTGGGACCTGTACCTATGCTCTGAGGTACCTATGCTCTGAGGGACCTGTGCTTTGTGGGTTCTGTACCTATGCTTTGAGGTACCTATGCTCTGAGGTACCTATGCTCTGAGGGACCTGTGCTCTGTGGGACCTGTACCTGTGCTCTGTGGGACCTGGACCTATGCTCTGTGGGACCCGTACCTGTGCTTTTGATGTTGTAAATGACTGAGTGAGTCTTGCTGCCGTCCAATGATTCCGCTGCTGATGTGAATGATCTCATTGAGCAAGGGCGTAGGTTTGCGTGGGGACCATGGGGACATGTCCCCACCAATATTTGGTGAGGACTAAAAAGTCCCCACCAAAATGACATGATGTCCCGGGACCCGGACAGTCCGGGACACATGTCTTCCGTTTGTGCACACGTCGCGCCTCCTCTTCGCCTCCAGAGCAACAGCAGCAGCAGCAGCACGTGACCCGTTCCGTTCTCTGCAGTGATTGGCTGTCTTCTTCAGCGCCAAACTGAAGCACTGAGCGACTGTTTAATTTTTAAAAGTTAGCCAGCGTGAAGCAAGTGTTTTTTTTCGTTCCCTGAGCGTTGTAGCACGTGAGTAATCAGAGGAAAGTACTGTAGATCTATTACCATTCAAAGTACTTACGTTATTTCTAATCTGTCAGCGCACTGTTTAATGTTCCGAGGAGCTCACACGGCACAGAGACAGAACAGAACTGGCTCCAATAAAGAAACAGGTTGGTTGAAAGGCTGAAAAAATACTTATTGTGCTCTTACTATCCAAAATGTATAAGTGGGCGTGTTGTGTGAATCAGGATAAACTAGGGATGAAAATATTCCACGGATCCACGATTTACAACCTTTATCTGCTGATAATGTAATTTCTGTGAAATGTGTGACAGCGGGCACTTGCTGTTATTTGCTCTAAGCACATTCAAGCGATGCACTCGAATGTGCACGTCCTTGTGCAGCTGCTGCCGCTTTGTAATGACAGCCGCGGCGCTCAGTGAAAGCACAGCTCTAACATGGTACCGAGCTCGGACCATATGCAGACAGAACCATGTTGCAAGTGCGGGTCTCCCTCGTATCTCCCCCGTTTCTCCCCTGTGTCTCTGACATGTCTCTCCCCTGACTCTTCCCAAAGCGCAACCAGCGCTCCCGAAATTAAAGCTCGGATACGTAAATTTTCCATTGCGTTAACGATGCATGCTGGTTGTGCGCAAAACACACCACAACAGGTCATTTAAGTTTTTATTTTGCATACTTGAGAGCCCTGTGAGTCATTACTTGCCTTTTTGGGTTGAGAGTGGAATAAAAAAAAGAAAATATAGAAAAATCCACACTGTTACTTATTGCCAAACTCTTGTTAACTCATTGTATTGAGAAATACTATGTAACTTTTGACATTGGCCAAGTTATATAAATGATTCTGCAGTTCATGTATATGAATGTCTGTTTTTGATTGTCTATACCTTCTTATATAATTTAGAAAAAATGCCACCTCCACAAAAAAAGATAAAAGATATCAGGAGCTTTTTTAACAGTTGGAAAGTAAGTAAGAGAAAGCACAAGTAATAGCAAATTATGAATTGTGATGATTAATCTTCTGTTAACATACATAACTGCTTCTCATTCAGTCTACAGCTGAGTTTAGTATAGAAGGCAACACACTATTGCAAATATAGTGTGTGATTACACCACAAATTCTGGGGGAGAAACTCTGGACCCCGTGTCAATTGGTGTAGACTCAGGTCGTAGTGAATGTCCCCACCAAGATTGGAACCAAACCTACACCATTGTCATTGAGTGAAGTCCGTGTGTGAGACTGAGTAGAACCAAACCAGCCGAGGATAAGTTTGGTGTTGTCCTGGAAAGTGAGTTTATAGATGATGGCGCCTGATATTTTCAGGAGGTCACTTTTTGTATAAGGTCATTGTTGACATAGAGTGACAGTTTCCACATTGAAATGTCCTCACTGTGGGACAAATACAGGCTCTTTTATCTTTTATTATTCTGTGCAGCTGTTATATCCTGAAGTGTTGACATTATAGTACACTAACAGCGGTTTCCAAACTTTTCAGTCTGGGGAATTTTTTTTTTTTTAAACGATCCTGCGACCTAGTAGTATCTCAAGAAAGCATGTAGTACTTGTTAAGCGTGAACATTCTTTCCATATTGATTGAACTTTTGTACAGAGCAGCACCGTGATGAGTCATGGTGTAGGGCTAGGTAGAGCTGGTTCACTAGTCCCAAGTCTAGTGGGTGAAAAGTACTTGTCATTGTCTAGATACTATTCATTTAAAGGAAACCAACGCAATAACTTCCTCACACAGCGTTCAGGGTGTGTGTGTGGTGTGTGTGGTGTGTATGTTTTTTTTTTGTCACAGTTTGCATTGACACCAGTGACGCCCGCACCATGTGTCACCTCTGTCCTCGTTTCTGGTAAAAAGCCAGCTAATCCCACCAGTGACCCCGCCCCCCCATTGACTGCATGTTCCCTAAATGACTCACCATGGTTTAATGATACTCTTACCTTACTCTGTCTGAATGACAGCACCAACGACAAGTTAAAGTAACACGTTTCTTTTTAATGTTATTATAATGTAAATAAAAATAAAAAATAGATAATTTAATTCAGGGATCTGTTTGGGTGATACAGTACAAAACACACTATTTCTTACATCTTCTTGACCTTTTGAATTCATAGGAAGACTGTATGAAATCAGACTGATGGTTTCAGAGTGCAAGTATACATTCAGGATGTTAGAAATTTACATTAGAGTATTACAAACAAACAAACTTGTGCGCTACAAAGTTGTTCTAACTTCTGGCGGGTTTTAGTCGTACTCTCCACCAGGCTAGTATCGTTCTAAAAGTCATATTTGAAGTCAGAGGTGCTACATGTCCCAGGCCTCTGTCAGCTTTTTGTAATTTCACCGTGTGCTTCGCAGCCATAGCAACGGTTGCTATGGACGTACCAACTTTCTCAGAACCCCCGGCTCTAGTCCTGTGACGTTTGTGGAATATAGCAGCGTTCGAGAGCTCGCAAACCGGAGCACGGCACGCAACCAACAGCGCCGTCATAACTTGTAAGGAAACTCTTGGAGAAATCCTTTGGTTACCGTGGTGATGGGCAGCTCCGAGACGTGCCCGATGCCGCCGCTCAGCTCCAAAACCCTCTTTCGGCAAATCTCCTGCAGCGTAGGCTCCCATTTCCTGTATGGGACCCGCAGACTCTTCTTTGGCGAGCTGATGTAATGTTCCAACAGCGCAAACAGGGAAGCGAAGGCTCGCTCGTTGCCCGCCAGTGAAAATTTGTGCTTCTTGAAGTCTATGCGCACGCTGACCGGGCCGCTCTTGGACAGGTACGACAGCGTGAAGAAGACATCCTTTTGGCGGCTGTCGCGGATGAGGAAGCTGCCCAGGGGCGAGTGTTTGAGCATGAGGTGCGCCTCCTCTACGCCCAGGGGACCCCAGTAGAAGCCGCTGCGCTCCAGCTTGGAGGCCGTGTCCGTGATGAGGTCGCAGTCCGCCTGACAGGAGAAGACGGGGAAGTGAGTGAGGTAGACGCAGGGCACGGTTCGGATCGCTGGAGACGGGGGAGCGGGGAGTCTGTGGAGGTCGTCCCAGCTGATAGGGCTGTCGGAACGAACCGAGGCGGAGGAAGATGAGCACAGAGAGGAGGCGCAGGATGAAGGACACAGAGAGGAGGCGGAGGATGAAGAGCTGGTGTGGGCGCAGTCATCAAGACCTTCCAGGGTGCTGTTGGCTACCATCCTACGTCCAGACCCTCTCCCATCTCTGCCCGCCGCGCCTGCATGCTAAAAAACACAACACAACACAACATGAGAAGCTGGTCCGCACACACAGGTGGTGCCAAAGGGAACAGAGAAGTCTAGAATATACCTGTGAGCCCGTCAGTCACCATAATTAGAGGCAAGGCGAGGTTATTTGTATAGCACTGTTCACACACAAGTCAGAGTGCTTGACAAAAACAAGAAATGAATTTAAAAGGCATTAAAAAGCATAAATAATTACTTTAAAAAGAGTGTACAACCGAATGTTCAGTCCTTCAGTTGTATGCACAGCTAAACACTGATTTAAAAAACATATATACATAACTGAATACAATCTTTAAAAACACTTTCGCCAGGCAATATACATTTGGGGCTCAATATTAATCGCTTGTATGCTTTTTTCGTAACAGTGGGAAGATATTTACCATTTTCTTTGTAGTGCAATACATTTTGAGAAGAACTAATTCTGTTTCTATGTTTCAGCTTTTGCATTAGGAAGTTAAAGAACGAGTCAAAAATAGCTCTTATGGATTCTCCTGCTGTTTTGTATTCGCACCAGTAGGACAAAGTTGGTCCAAAATGAGAAGCAAGGAAGGTTTTTTGTATAGCACAGTTCATAAGGCAGCTCAAAATGCTCAACACAACCAGATAGAAGGCTAAGAAAATGTGAAAAAACAAATAATAGAAAAAAAGTGTGAAGATAAAATGTATCAGTTGTAAGCACAAAACTGTTTTCTTAAACCTGGATGTGAACAATGTCAGAGTAAAAACCTGTTTTACATTTTCAAGAAGACTGCTCCGGATTTGAGTTGCATAAATCTGAAATTTATGCAACTCCACCCATTCTCCCATGTTTATTCCTGACTCTGGGCACCAGCAGGAGTTCTTAACGAGACGGGGCTATGTACGTGTCATTCTTGGACTTTTCCATGACTGAGAATGTGTGACTATTGAAGAATGCGTTTTAAACTAGCCCAGGCCAGAAAGGCAAACCTGTACGTGTATGGTCCAAACCCTACCCGCAAACAAAGTGAGAGACGTACAAAAATAAACCTATGCTTCTAAGTTTAACTGCCGTGACTCGATGACGTAAATGTTCCAGCCGTGCATAATAAAACTGGTCTTATAACCTTACCGTAAGTATTGTAAACAGGGGCCCCCGGAGCGCTCCTGCTGCCGCTCCTGCTGCTGCTGCTGCTGATGATGATGATAGTGTAATTTGTGCAGTGTTTTGTGTTGTGTGAATATTTACAGTCTCTGGTCTTCTCCTGTCGTCTCTCTTTTATATACCTCCCTGTAGCTCCGCCTCTTCTGCTCAAAGCTCTAAACGAAAGTGAAACTCTCGTAGCATTCGATTCAGAGAAGACTGGGTGGAACCGCGAAACCACGTGACTGCAGCTTCACAGAAACGCCACTCATGACCGTAAGCCCTGTGTTTAGTGTAAGCTCTGCTACAGCTCATGTGTATATGATGTGTGTATGTGTATGTATGTGTACTGTATGTGTGTAAATATATGATCTATGTATGTGTGTGTATGTATGTATGTAAATGTATGTATGTACTGTATATGTATGTATGTGTATGTGTGTACTGTATGTATGTAAATATATGATCTATGTATGTGTATGTATGTATGTGTGTACTGTATATGTATGTGTGTACTGTATATGTATGTATGTGTATGTGTGTAAATGTATGATCTATGTATGTATGTATGTATGTACTGTATATGTATGTATGTGTATGTGTGTACTGTATGTATGTATTTATGTGTGTACTGTATATGTATGTATGTGTATGTGTGTACTCTATATGTATGTGTATGTGTGTACTCTATATGTATGTATGTGTATGTGTGTACTCTATGTATGTATGTATGTGTGTACTCTATATGTATGTATGTGTATGTGTGTACTCTATGTGTATGTGTGTACTCTATGTATGTGTGTACTCTATGTATGTATGTGTGTACTCTATATGTGTATGTGTGTACTCTATATGTATGTATGTGTGTACTCTATATGTGTATGTGTGTACTCTATATGTATGTATGTGTATGTGTGTACTGTATGTACTGTATGTGTGTACTGTATATGTATGTATGTGTATGTGTGTACTTTATATGTATATATGTGTATGTGTGTACTGTATGTATGTGTTATGACGAGGAATATTGTGACCTATATTGAAATGTATGTTTTTTTTTTGTTTGTTTTTTTTTTACCTTTTTGTGGCCTTAAATTGTTCAAGCATGTTTTTACATTCATGCTTTTAAAACAATATGTCATGTATGTTCACTGACACGCACTGGCCCATAAAACGAAATAAACATAAAGATTAGATAAGATTAGAGTTCCTTTATTCATCCCACAGTGGGGAAGTTTCAATGTTGCAGCGCACATACAGGACACAAAATATACAAAATAAGTAAGTAGCTGCTATGATTCTTAGCCAGCTGTAAATGCTAATACCAGTCTTTCAAAATATATATTGTGTAAAGTTATATACTGTACATATAGGGCAGGATAATAAGTAGCTACAGTAAAGTGACATTGTACAGTGGACGTTCTGAAGTGTGCGATTTAAAACTTAAAGGTCCACGATGCAAGAGTTTGGGATGAAAACTAGTCCCATGTCTGAAGCTGCCAAAAGACTCCGAGACTCTGAAAGTAAACACTGGGAGAGAAAAAAAAAGTCAAGAGGCGTGTTCGTGACATGGTGCTACAGTGGGCAGGAGTGGTGTTTGAAATATTTATAGCAATTTTATCTCCAGGATTTTATTTAATTATGAATAAATAATGGATCCTGTTTGATGTGTCTAACCTGAGCTCTTATTTCCTCCTTGTATGTGGCTGTAATATGTGCTACAATGACAGTGAAACTTCCCCCTCTGTGGGACCTATAAAGCCTATTTTTATCTGAACATGCAGCGATAAGCAAAATCTGCAAACTAGCAGCGATTTGTTAAAAACCCCCTCACCACACACTTTAGACACCGCCTGAGCTCACGACTGCTCAAGTGAGATCGCAGAGATATCAAACCTGTTCGTTGGAGGCCTGAGTGCTGCTGCAGCTGTCAAAAGCCGTGCATACACAGGCTCGCTAAACGGTCACTTTCATAGCGGTTATATGATGTTGTGTACTGTATGATTTTAAATAAAGCATATAGAATTGCAACAACAGAAAAAGAGTGACCGCATTATGGATTCTAAAGTCCTACATATCCATCCATCCATTTTCTTCCCCTTAATCCATTTCTGGGTCGGGGGGGGTGGCAGTCAGAGCTGCACCCAGTACACAGAGCACCAGCCCCTCACTGATCCTCCTGCAGGTGGTGAGTCCACAGGAGCTGAGATCTTTCAGTTGGGGCTTTGGGCAAAGTAGGGTTAAGTGTCTTGCCCAAGGACACAACGACAGCAGTCATCAGTGGGAGTCGTGAAGTAGGTCTTACGGTGGGCTCGAACCCACGACCTTCAGGCCCAAAGGCCAATGCTCTACCAACTGAGCTACTGTCGCCCCAGTCCTACATAGTGTCCCTTTAATTGTTAAATCTGTCTTGAGGAGAGAATGTGTAAAACAAGTGCCAGGATTAAAGTCAGAATCAGAATCAGAATCAGAATCATTTTTATTGCCAACGTAAGTAACGGGAGGTCACAGACTTGGAAATTGCTTTGGCTCAGTGCAACAGTCAAAAAGAGATAATAAAAATAAGAATAAAAAACACTTCTAAAGAATAAATTTAAATTTAAAATAGAGTTACAGTTACTATTTACAATATACAAGTGCACATGGTGCACACAATGTAAGGTGACAGCAGTACAGTGAAGTAAAGTGACGTATGATGGGCAGTAAAGTGACTTTATAAAGGGCGGGGGGACAGGTCAAGAAGTGTTCAAGAGTCCAACAGCAGAGGGGAAGAAACTGTTCTTGTGGCGGGTGGTTCTAGTCCTGATGGACCGCAGCCTCCTGCCTGAGGGGAGTGGTTGGAATAGTCCATGTGCAGGGTGAGAGGGGTCGGCTGTGATACGACCAGCCCGGCCTCGAGCTCGGGCGAAGTCATGTGCAGTAGCTAAAAAAAAACAAAATAAAAACAGATACCTATGGAAAGTGTGGAACTTTTTTTTAAAATCCAGAACCTGCATTTGTGTGGCTGCGATTCTCCTAAATAATACATCCAAAATACATGCAGCATCAGATCTTATTATTTGTTCTGTATTTGGTGGATTCAAATGTATCAACTGCTGCTGACATTCAGTCCAGTTTGGTGTCAGAGCAGTTCTTTAGAAAGGAATATGTGCATGGATATCTTTAGGATACCAGAGAAATACACTGTATCCATTATACCAGAGAAGCATGACTGCACAGACAGCTGATTTAACGTGACACTTCCTCATTATCATAACTGAATATTCTTCCTTGTTTTTCTATTTTGAGACACAATGAAGTCACTAATCACAGTGCTTCACGGACTATTAAAAGTACCTAAGTACATAAATGGCACCAGCTACATTTGAAGAGATTGTAAATGTCCACATAAAGGCTGACTCCTGACTTCTTTCATTTTTATTTTACAAATTGCACGTTTCACAACACGATCTGATAACACCAAGTCATAAAGAGTCCAGGATCAATGTCAAAGTTGTTTTCCCAGAATCAATGTTAAAGCCAACCAAACAATGATATCAGATGATAAAAATATTGATAATAATAATGATATCAACATTTACTGTTTATTTTTATGTCATTGTTTTGAATAAATAATCTTTTATTTTTGAAATGTGAGTAGATCTTTACAAAGCAGTCATTTTGACAACATTTATTTGAAAGTACAATTCAAATGTAGCCATTTTTTGTCTTTGGCATTAAAACCCCTTTTCTGAAGGTGCTGGTTCTGGACTGGTCCTGCTTCAGTTTAGTTTCTCTCCAGTTCATTGCAACTGCTAGTTGCCATAGCAACACACTACTGTCAGCAGTTAGCATTTCAATAAACTGTCTTTGCTGTATTTCAAGTTATATTCACAAGTTTTAGTAAGTAAAGGTAAAGAACCTTATAAATTACTTACTTTTAATCTGATGGAAAACAAACTCACTTTCTTTTAAGATTCTTTCAGAATTCAATTGTTTTTAAACGGAAGTCGACGAAATGACTGCTCTGAGACTTCTGAAGTTTCAGATTTCTGGGAGTCATGTTGCTCACAGATCGGCCTACGCTCCAGGCTGCTGAGTCTATACTTGCCCAAAACCTTTGGATCAAACTTGTTATCACCTCATCTGAACTCTACTTTCTCATTGTAAAAGTAGTAGTACGCACTTTTTGCAGTAAATAGCTGCATTTTGTAAAAGGCATTGATAAATATAAGACACACTGATGAGCGGGCCACGCAAACAGAAAGTTAAGCAGGATATTTATAAGTTTCATTTTGTCGCTCAGGCCGAGTGCTAATTGCCTGAGGGCCCGAGGTCATTCTAGTGGTGACAGTTCCTATTTTCGTTCTCTTGCATTTAAACTTATTTTTCATGTTTTGTTTCTACTGCATTTTTTTGGCTTCATTTAAAACATTGTGCATTTTGCAGCATGTTTATTTTATACAACACATGACACAGAGGTGCAGCTTCTAATGATGTATTATCATGTGTCCCGTGTCTATTTAGTTATGGTTTTCTTTGGCAACAGAACATGAGTGGAAATGATTGCAGCAGTAGTAGCTGTAAGGGATGGTGCAGCAGTACTTTAGCACATGCAGCGTTCTTTTCTATCATTACTTTTGTGCAACATTGTGAGTCTTTATGGTCTTCTAGCAGTTTTCAGAAAGGCTATCACAAACAGTCTTTATGCTAGATAGTATTTACTGTATACCGATAGCAGAAGTAGCAGTAGTGGTAGTAGAAGTATTATTATCCTTACTTTTTGAGCAAAATTTTCGTGTTGATCTCCATAAATACTGCTCTCTAGTACATTACTTAGAGCAATATTTTTGTGTTGATCCTTGTGAAAATTGCTTTATAGTAGATAACCTATTGAGTTATGTACCAGTAGTAGTAATATATTTGTACTTGGTTGACTCATCATATATCGTAATACTTATTTTTGCTTCAACAGTATATAATAGTTGTAGTAGATCTAAACACAGCTGCCTCCCACAAAGTACTTCTTGATAGGTTCTGTTTTCCTCCCTCCCTCTGGAATTACACTGGCCTTTAGGACTGCTCTGTATCTGCCAGACGTCTGATAAGGCCGGCAAATCTTCCAGCTATCCCCAAAATATTGTGATTATTGTCCTCATCGTTCCTGTGCATATCACACGTTAGCCTTGTCTGTTGTCTCTAGCTGCGTGCCGGGTTTTTATTTTTTTTGCAAGGGCTTCTCCATGAGTTTCATTTCTTTGTAAGTATTCTGTATTGTGTGCAAAGCAGAGAG